ACAAAGTCTTCCCCACAACAGTGCTGAAACATTACCTGTATCCCAAACTGAAGCACCCCGTCCTACATACCCTCCACCTCTGCTAGTTGACCCCCGACACACCGACCCCCAACCTCTGTCCCCACCAGAGGTTGACCTCTACCGACCAAAGATGCAGGACGCCGAGACGGCGGGCGTAGAAGAGACAATCATCCTCATGCCAGAGGACTTCCAGAAGAAGAACAAGAGAAGACTTACGTCGACAGCCGAAGAAAGCCCCAAGAAGCCCCGTCAGATCAGTATGGAGGAAGCCCTGCATGCGTCTACAGCAGTTTCGGTAGATGGAAGAGAGGAAGAGGCTGTCGTCTCCAGGCCACGTAGCATCTGTAGTGACCCAGGTCTTCCCACAGAAACCATGAGGAAGACCTACGCGCAAGCCAACGAAAGTTCTGCTGCCAGCGTGTGTTCGTCCGCATCCATGGATGAGCCCCAGGAAAACGGACTGTCCACAGATATGTCCACAGTACGCTCCAGGCATTCCTCGGAACCGTCAGACGTGCACAAGAGAAACTGCAGAGAGCGTGCTAAAGTCTTCGAAGAGGACGTTTTCCCTAAGCCGGCAGACTTGTCTCACAAGGAGGAGGATGGGGAGGAGGGAGAGGAGGCAGGTGTCACCTCCATCCAGGAAGGAGACTCCTACAGGTGCAGCACCTGCAACAAGACCTTCACCGACCACGGGCAGTTCCGCGCGCACGTGCGCGAGGAGCACGTCAACCACAAGGTGCACGAGTGCGAGAAGTGCAACGCCACCTTCAAGTACTCGGGCGCGCTCAAGACCCACATGCGGGTCCACACCGGGGAGAAGCCGTTCGCCTGCGACAAATGCGGGGCTCGGTTCACGCAACTCGGCAACCTGCACCGCCACAAGAAGACCCACGACGGACTGAAACCATACCAGTGCGGGCTCTGCAACGCCCGCTTTACTCGCCTCGGCAGTGTCCAGGAGCATCTTAAAATCCACACAGGAGAGAAGAAACCGTTCCAGTGTAAGGTGTGCACAGCCGAGTTCACGCGTCATGGGCACCTGCGCAACCACATGCGGATCCACAGCGGCGAGCGGCCCTTCTCCTGCTCGGTGTGCGGCGCGCAGTTTCGCCACCCAGGGGGTCTGAAGCAGCATAAGAAGATCCACCAGCGAACGTGTTTCGAGACCAGCCCACACATCTGTGAGTCGTGCGGCGCCCTGTTCACCCGCCTTGGCGACCTGCGCACCCATCGCAAGCTGCACGATGGAGGCAAACCCACGCCAGAAGAGCTGGATGGAGACATGTCGGACTGAGAATGTTGTATCTTAATGAGTGAAGAGATTGTGCAACTTGCAAGAAGAGCACATTAGCAGAACTTACTGCACCTGCACAAAACCCGTAATGTATTGTGCATAGCACTCCACCAGAACGTCTTGTTTAAGGTTGTATTTGTGTATGTAAGGATGACATCCTGTCTATAGTTAATAGGAAAAAGATCGTCTGCAACAGGCAAAATTCTGATGCAACGTTGAGGAAACATCTAATGAAAACCATGAAAAATCTGGGTTACACGCAGGGGCACTATGTTTTGTTGACATGCTTGCAAGATTTGTTGTGGGAAATGCTCATCTCATTGGACCACAAACAGTATTTGGACAATCAAATCAAGAAATTATCATGATAATTTTTTTGCTGCATCATTTTCTTTTTTTCATGAACTGTATGTTTGAGAAATGTGGTGATCATAGTTACAGAGGCTACTTATGGTTAAAACTTGCTAGAGTTATAGCATGTAATGGAAAATGTAGTGTATTATTAATCAGAGCTATAAAATTTATCCATAGGTATACCCAAATTGGACCAACTATTTCACACAGAGTTTAATAACTTACTGGAGTTCTTATATTTTGCTCCTGGAGTCTTCCTGAAGTATATTGTGTACTATATGAAATAACAGAGGAGGCAAACAATTCATTTTAGTGAATATTGAAGAATTCTGTGGGAACCATACCTGGTATGGTATACAAAGACCTTTTTTGGAAGAAACATTGAAGTTGTTTACTTCAAATATGGCAAGATAGTATTCTAGAGCTTGCCTAGAAATTACATGTATTGTTTGGCACCTTTGACACAGATAGAAGCTTGTTTAAGTGACTGACATAGTTTTAGTAAAAGATGTTGGTTTTGATTAGTGAGACAGTGAACTTTTGCATTGTAGAAATTTCACTTTAATGATAGTAAGAAACATGTATTGCTTTTGTATGAAAAAATTTTTAGGTAAGGACAATCAATATAAGTACACCGATTTGTAGCCAGGTTTTTTTATGTTTCTAACATTTTAGAGCCAGATGTCAATGTTGATTGGGACTTGAACCCTTAACCTTTGATCCAAAATAGCCTTCATATGTTTTGGCAGTCGCACACAGAGCAGAACAAAAATTTATGGACAAAAGAATGCATTTCTCATTAAGAAAATGACTAGTCAGTACAGCCACACCTAAGTGACTTTACATTTCAGTGAAGTGCCAGACATGTCAACTTTGATATGATACTCCTACAAACTTCCTCTTCATGGACAAACATTCAATCCCTTTATTTTGGAACAATACCAACAACCCACTTCCCCTTTCAGAAGTGCAAAATTGCATTCAATTACCTGGCTCAGATAAGGTAGCAATGATTTTGATCGTGGCATACATGTAGACTGGTAGTTCTGTTTCTGAGGGACAATGTTTACATGACACTAGATCTCATAATGTGAAGTAGTTATATCAAGAAATCGCTTTATCGTGTACATGTATGATTGTCATAGAAGCTGTGATGTGTAATGCTTAAATGACTATGAGTCATGATGTAATAGTCTGACTATACGACATATCAGTCAACCGTATTCAGACAGAAGTATTATTCAAGCGTTTTGTAGTTTGTTTTCTGTTTGTATATCCTGGATACCAGGTTGAAAACCTGTCTGAGGGTGAGCAGTGTGTTGACCTTACCCACCCGGGTATGTTGTGCCATTGTTCGAAATGTAAACAAGAATCTGCCATGTCAGAATGCTCCACGTATATTGTATTGTACAAAACTATGCAACCAGCTAACAGACACTCAAATGGGCCCTGAGGAATCGATCAGTAATGCTTTGGGGAGGGGTGTCTGGAGAAATATTTTTTGAGGGATTGATCAGTAACATTTGTAGTAGGGGTTTCTGGAGAGATATTTTGACTGAAAACTATATACATATATATATATATATACCTTTTCATAAAAAAGTTTATGAAATTTGATCCGCCCTCCCCAAACACCAGAAGTGGTTGATCCCAGCAGGTTGTTGCTGGATTGGCTGCTAAACTGATTGGTGGTTGCCATGACAACCCTGAGGCGTGGCCATCAATCAAGTCGTCTGCCACCATATATGGACAGACAGCGTAGCATAGACTAGGTTATTGCTGTTTGTGTTTGAAGTGTATAAATATCCGTATGGAAATGAGTTTTTTCTGGTAGGAAACACTTCCTAGAAGGATTTTTATGCCTGGAAAAAAGACTCTAACTTTGATGACTGTAGATTTTGTATGTGTAGTATGTTTTTCTCTGTGCTCATTGATGCACACCTGTAAACAGTATGAAATTGTAGTACTGTTGCATATGGGTCAAGACTTAGTCTAAATGCATCTTTTTCTTTGCATATGTCTTACATGGGAACATTACAATTTGTAAATACTTTCATTCGAAAATCCTATTCAAGATTTTAATTTTTTGTCATATATCTTTAACTATATGAAAATCACATCAAGTCAGTGTCCTTAATGCCAGTTGATTCAATTGCTTGATGATGTTTATCAATTTTTCTTCAGAAATGGTAGAGTTGTTAAAAAAGGCACCACAGATGTCTTCACCCATGACCTACTCTGGACTGCTCTATTGTTGTCAACTAAGTTCTTTTGCATAGTTGCTCACCAAAATGTCGTCCTAACTAAGGAAGAACGGAAATGAAATATAGGTTAATCACCTTTGTATGAATAGGAGATAGAATGAAAGATGGGGTTAAGTTTGTAGGGAACTCCCTCCAGCTATGGATTAGTGTCTTACAGGAAATATACTGGCAACAAATCACTGCCAAAATGTGATGTCATACTTCTGTACAATTCTGATTAATACCGGAAACTTAGCTGCATTGTGACTGTACTCTGTATTGTTCCCTGTATTTTGTATGTGTATTGAATAGTCTGTTGAGTAATAACCCAAGACAGTGGCTAGTATTATGATTATGTAACCGGTTAGCTATAGTGTACAACAGACAGGTTTGCTGTTCAATCAGACTGTTTTATTAGAAGTGTAGACTAAAAATCAGTGTTGGTGCTGTTGTGCCTATGAAAGAATGTTTTATACAGATGACAATCACTGGAGATGACTGTATATTTTTGTGATGGGAGAATATTCTATATACGCAGAGATGTCCACTGTCAGATGAACTGAATGTATATTTTTGTGATGAACTTTTGCCTGCTTCGTGGAAGGGGTTTGCTAATTGGTGTGCCTTGAATTCTGTTGACCCAGAAGAATAAAAAAAAAGGTTGGAACTTTGACAACTGTCTCTCTTGCATTGAGTCTTGGTTGTTGTTAGAAAATGATAATATTTAGCCATTGTAGACCAAAGTTCCACAAATCATTCAATGAGGAAGATTGCTAGTAAGAGTAGTATTATTTCTTCACTATCACATAATCAGAAATATAGAGATATCAATTCAATGAACACAGCTTGTGTAAGCCTTAGGTAACACAAAATTCAGTGCTTAACTTTTTTCTGGTTTACACAATAAGAAGACCACACAGTATATATACCAATCAGGCCAGGATATTTAAAGAAGAATCTATCATACAATGCTGATATGTTTCATTTTACTGGTGACAGCGACATCTAGCAGCAATTAACGAAAGTACACCTGTCACACGAAAAAGGTGCAGCAGGTGGCTGTGACGTCACACTCTCCCAGCATCCTTTGCGGTAAGCTGAAAATGCGGAAGTAAATGTGCAACTTTGGTTTCGTGACTTCGAAACTAGCTTGCTGTTACTTTCGCGAGATATATTTGTTCATCTAAGACGTCATACTGGTAGGAAACATGGAGAAACGGGACAGAGAGACACTTAGAAAGAACAGAGTGTTCTTGTTGGACAACATTGACTCTTTAGATCGACTGATAGATGAATTACTTGCTGCCCCCGATATGCCTATCGTCACCGAGAGCATGATGGACTCAATACAGGTAAATGAGAACAGACTTATATATTATTGCACATTTGCCCAATAACCAAGATTATAATATCTAAGGTTTCAATGACAATGAATGATTTAGTGGATCACACCTTCATTTAAGGGGAAAGCCCTTATCATTTATGACAAAAATAATTTGTTCTTATGTGCCAAGAGTAAACAAACCTTCCCAATATAGGATATTTCGGTACGTCGGAGAATCCGTCTCGAAATACCAAATGCGAGAGTATACTAGTGGTACACCTCTACCGGTAATTGTACACGCAGTATTCCACCATATACTTGAACTGTCAGAACAAGGAGGTTTGATTTTTAACCTCATCGGTCAGAAATAGTTCAATTGAAACACAAAGGGAGCGAGTTGTACAGTCTCCTGGCTCCCGGGATTCGAACCCAGGCCAAGCCCGCGGGCGAGCTCAGCTCACGAACCCAACGCACTAACCGCAAGGCTAAAAGGTCCGGACCCGTTGGATTTGTGAGTTGGTGCTTGAAATGCGTAGCCTGGGTACCATCCTACTTGTATATTGGGGCTCCAATACTCGCTTCCCTAAGAAGTACTTCTTAGGGAAGCGAGTGTGGGAGCCCCGGCATACAAGTAGGATGGTACCCAGGCTATGAAATGCGCTGTTACGGTCAGTTTTCCAATATATGAACTTTTTGTTTACATACATCAGAGTAATCCCACCAAAGAGAGGAAGATCGGCGCCCTGCTGGACCTGCTGCCCAGACGAGGTCCGACGGCGTTCACGGCTTTCTGCGCCGCCCTGCGCAAAACAGAACAAGGCTTCATCGCCGACCAGCTGCAAGGTGTGGTGACGGAGGTGGAGAGGAAAATGGAAACCCTGACTGTCAGCGTACCGCCGGGTAGGTACCCGCTCTTCCAAGTCGATTTTAAGACTAGATTAACGGTTCTTTACTCACAACCACTTGCTTTACAAGAACAGACGTTTCGATGACCGCCTGTCATCTTCTTCTGGGGTTTATATGACTAGTTCACTGTGCACTGGAGGTAGATGTTACTGCTAACAATGCAGTCCCAAACGTAATGTAATTGTGAGGCATTCGTTCACCAACCTGATGAACTTATTCACGAATAGAGACATGGTATAGCTATTTTCTGGGTATATTGATTGTGATCATTTACTTGAAACGATCGCGAAAGCAACAGTTGGTATGACTATAAAATGTTTATTTCAGAGGGAGAAGTTGACCAGGCAGATGTGATCCCTTTGGACAACAAGGAGGGTCCCATTTCAGTCGTGGTGAAGCCGTGCACGCAGGAATTTGTCAATGAAACAAGGGTGAAACACGCGGTAGGAAACACTACACTTAGACTCTTACACTTACAGCCTTCTTTCCACACTTACATACCGCCTTATGAATGCATACTATATCTATATGCAGGTCATAGATCAATTAATAGCTTTTTCTTTTGCGTAGATACATGTGTTCAACCACAGTTTACGTTAGCCACTGACGAAAAGTAGTGGATGTTACATCAAATTAAGAGTGAGATCTGGTAGGACATTAAGTACCAAACTGTTCAAATTTCAACGGTTTGGAACGGGAGAAGGAATGAAGCAAAAACAATATGTTTTCCTTCTGCGGTGGTAAACGAAAGAAAACAGAGGTGCCAAATAAAGTACCAATAAAGTTCCAAAGTGTTCAATCTTTACCTCTCTCCAGCCGTACAAGATGGATGCCAACCCCCGAGGTCTCGCTCTCATCCTCAGTAACACCAGATTCGGTCAAGCAAGTCAACTTCTTGACAGGAAGGGAGGAGAGATTGATCTTCAAAATGCGACACATCTGCTCGAAGGCCTTGGATTTGCAACGTTTCCAGAAGAGGATAAAAGTGCAAAGGTGCATATGAAGGTGTAACTGATTAAAAAACGAAAAAAAAAAACACTTTCAAAGCAAATACATAGTATTTACCTTCACATGGTCTAGCCCAACAAACTACTGCTCTGTTTATTTTTACCCGAACACATTCATACATGTCGTGACTAGTCTCTGTCTTACTTACTTACTACATAATGTAACTCAACACCACAAGGTGTCGTATACAGCACCAGTTACCATGGTGACAGACGTCTGCCGGTCCAGGTCATTGACCTTATTTGTTTGGAACGGAAGAAACGGAGCCATTATAGTATTATTAGCTATTATAGTATTGGCTTGCTTCTTTGTTTCTTTTTTTCATCAAGAACGTTTTACCTTGACATGTATCCTTTTTTTTACTCCAAGGATATGCTCTTGATTCTGAAGAACTTTGCCGCCAAAGAAGAGCACAAGACAGCCGACGCCTGCATCGTTGTCCTGATGTCTCATGGTGCCCGGGGCCTAATCTACGGCACCGACGGAGAGACGGTCAAGTACAAGGACATCTTTGACATGTTCAACAACAAGGAATGTCCCAATCTGCAGGGAAAACCAAAGTTATTCTTCATCCAGGCCTGCAGAGGGGGTGAGCACTATTTTAGTGTGTTCCATGAGTCGTCGCAACACCTACACGTTTGAACACGACCCTGAGACGCTTGCAAGATCCAAGGATGCCAAAATAATGATTTGCGTTTTTTTTCGTTCTTGTTCTTTGTCAGTTTACCATGTCTGGCGATGTTAATTCAGATATCATTGACTAGAAGATAACCGTTACCGATTTTGTAAATATGCCAGTGAAATATACTCGATCAGTTATGAAAACAGAAGATTATATTTGATTTATTTCAGACGCCGTTGACAAGGGAACAGATGCGCCAGATTTTGGGGGAAAGCAGCAGATGCAAGAGCTTCTCGGACCGAAGACAACGGGAACCGATCAACCAGACTCTAACGCTCCCTTACCTACAAGGACTGACATGGTGTTTGCCTACGCCACACAGGAAGGTAAGAATTATAACTGTGAAACTGAGAATCAGTGAAAATCATAGTGTGAAAACGTCAACAATGTGTCGTCTCACTTGTTTTCTTTCTTGTGACAATTTTTTAAAGTATGGCCTGATTTTCTTTTAAAGTTTGTTGTTTTTAGAAATATTATCCAGATACATTGTAATGAGATGCAAAAGAAAAGGTTGTATTGTTTTAAATCCTTTAAGTTCCTTGAGTATCTGTAACTGTTTCCTTATGTATGTCTCCTCATTACATTTGACAACGCTTATAACATAAGCGATATCTATTCGTCACATTGTGGGTTAGATCAGTCAGTTGGACGGTTGTCTTTTTGTCATTTCACGTTGTTAAATGTGCAGAAACGTGAGAGTTTGCCTTATTTTCCTCCCTCTACAGGAAACGTTTCATTCCGGAACTCGAAATACGGAAGCTGGTATATCCAGACCATAACCAATGTCTTCATGACGCACGCCAAAGACAAGGAGCTGTCTTCAATGCTGAGGATGGTAAGGCGCGAGAAAAACTGTACATTTAACTTTCGTCGTCTGCAAACGTTTTTGTATATGATTAAATCATAGGCTTCCTTCTTTCTTGTTCCAGCTTGTAAACATGTAAGCATGTGGCGGCTTGGGCTTTGGTTTTTGGATTTTGACTCTTTTTTGACGTATTGAATTTTTAGGTATACTGTATGTTGTTCTCCTTTGTTTGACTGTAACAATGCCGTGTCTTCTGAAAACAGCTATCGCGATGAAATGGGCTACCCAGCCGTCTTGAGATTATATTAAATAGATTGGTTAATAAGTAAATAAAACAAAGTTATTTTGAATTCACATTATTTTCAGGTCAACAGGCTTGTGTCCCAAAAGAGTGCTTCGTGCCCGGAAACTCCAGAACATCACGGCGGGAAGGAGTGCTGTGAGTTCGTGGACACACTGAGACATGACTTCTACTTCTTTCCCGGGAATTATAAGAATACGTAGATTAACGGAAGAAAATGACATATTTGGGGGAGGGGGCTATCATATTTGCAAGAATTTTTGTTCTAACTATACCGTACCACTGGGAAAAACTGTGAAACTACTGACGTTTAATTAAATCTAAAATTACAGACATATCATGGGCGCTTAGTACTTTGTTTTCAAAGTGCTGAAACAGTGTAGCTAGAGCAAAATGCTGCCCAGAAAATCGTAAGAAAGCGAACAAGGGCCAGCACCCGATTTAAGAACTAAGGCGTTATATGCTAGCAGTAAGGGATTATATTCCATTAAAGTGAGTATGCTAAATGAGGTTCTGTAAAGAAGAGCATTCCTTGATCATGATATAAATAGTATATAGTCGAAATCTAGCCTCGAATTGAAAATTGAACATTAATGGATCAGTTGTATAACGGTTTGACTTTGTCACTCCTGTGTTAAGAAAGTCCTTGTTTATCAGTGTATTGAATAAAAAAATAATTTGGTTTTGTCATCATTACGTGACTATGCTTTTACATACACACATGTACAGTCGACTGAATCTATCTCATTCCATTACTCCATTTTGTTATATTAATTATAAAACTCGGCAAAGAAGTTCTGCCATTGTGTAAAATCTGCTATTGTGTATCTTGAAGAATGTGGTATGGGGAAATCATACTTTTCATAGACCTCCAACGGTATTAAGAATCTGAAACAGCAGTTTTAGCTGCCGGGTATTCCAGCAATAAGGACAAGCCTTTAAGGTTTGGTCTACTTTAATCTGTGTGAAAAGTAGACCTCTCAAAAGAGTATTTTTCAGCAAAGAAAAAAGTTTTGTGTGGACCAAGGAGCCCGGCCGGCCCCACGGCCGCCTGCTCTTATTATCGCGTCTGTGATTGGTCGCCTCGCCTGAGGCAGGGGGTGACGATTGGTAAACAGTCTCCCTGGCAACCGGGTAACCAGCCTAATGTCGTCTGCGACCTCTGACGGGCGTAGATCTGTTGCTCATTTCTCCAGACGCCGTTGAGGGATAACAGCACGCGTATTGACCGCTTTTGGCAGATGGGGAAAGCTGACAAGAGCTTCCCTCGGTTTCTCCGATAGCCGGACAACGTTTGCCCCGATTGTACGGCTAAGAGGGTGGTGATATCGTGAGCCGACCGACCGCCCCCCTCCCCACCGGCTATGGGATGCGGAAGCAGCATACAGGTGGCACCGCCAAACACTGAGGGTCTCGCGGGCGAAATCCCTGGCGAAAAACAGCAGAAAGCCGTCCGCATTCGGGAGAACGGCAAGCTCAGCTGCCCGGGGGAGTCCAGCTCGACGCTGGGCGGGGTCGAGCCTGCAGGGGTGACCGAGGAGGAACCCGGAAGGGACTCGGTAAAGGAGCCCGGCTTTAAACATGAGCTGGGACAAGGAAGTGATAAAGACAACCCTCCGGCAAGGACTCCAGAAGACCAAGCAGCTTTGAGCGAAGGGACTGAATGTTTACAAGCACAGTTAGTAGCAGAGAATGGAAGGACTAGCCCGGAAGGAAGTTGTGATTCTGAGGCTGTAGTGCAGGATACTAGTGAGGTAGGGGAAGACAGAACTTACGAATCAAGGAAGGAAGAAGACACACAAGATTCCGCCATATTTACGGAAGGAGAGAGAACTTTAACCACATCTGCAGACGATAGTGGTATCCCTGGCGATTCCGTTCAAAGGCGCTTAGTTTTTGACAAAACCAATGCTGGAAATGATTCTGACGTCTTGGAGAATACAAAGGGTAAGGGTCACCAGTTTTAAGGCGTTTTGGGTCATGGGGCTCTAAGGTGTGGCGGTAAGGCCAAGTTTTCTCTCTCTGTATCTCTGTCACTATATCGCACACTGCCACACACACTTACTTACAAACACACACAGACACACACACGCACACAAACACACACACACACACACACACACACAACACACACAAACACACAAACACACATAAACACACACCTCTGCTTGAGTAACAAGAACGGTTTGAACAGGTTTAAACCGGACAGCGCGTTAGCCACCATTAGGTGCCCATAATTTCACCACTTACGTCCAATCAGATACACGTTAATCCGTGTGAAGCGACACTGGGACGAGCAGTCGGGCCTTCGGGGTTACAAATGTCATTAGGGGACGGATATACATACATTATGGATGATTAGACTGAGGGGTAATGCTCGTTTTGAGCCATGATTGGCTCCGAACTTCGGACATGTTTGACCAGCGTGATTCTCATGGCTAAAAGGTCATGATTATATTTGTTTAGGTGCGAAAAATGTTGCTCTAATGGTGATTTCATGAGCCTTGTTACGCTATGGGCTCATATTGAAAATCTTGTTTGACATTTCCCCCCATACATGTTGATATTGTCGTCCACCGTGTGTCGTCCGCCATCCCTTCCAACTTTTGCTCCATCGATGGTCGTTGACTAGAAAATAGCAGAACATCTGAGTTTGGCTAACGAAGGATAGTAGTTACCACCAACATATTTTCAGAAAGCTACCACTAGAAATTGGTAATCACAACGTGTTCGGACAGTTTCAGCTCAGTGCTGTATGAAAAAGGCAAGAAAATGATACAATTCAGGAAGTTGATTTGACTGGCATGTACTAGTACGTTGGACGACCTTCAACCCGAAGAAGGTTAAAAGTCTAAAAGGCTTCTTCGTATCAATTCCGATAGTCTAATGGGAGTCTTAAAAGGGTCGAGAAAGGGAGATTCTGTGATAAGAACTCATTCCCAGGCATCAGAAACAATCTTGTAGATAGAAACTTAGTCTAGGTTGATCTGTAGCCGTCACAAAGATGGTAAAGGCACGGATTGCTACAGATAAGAGACCGTTATGGGGGCACTGGTAGATAGACACTCTGTCAGGCCGTCTTGTTCGCCTGATGGTACTGTCAATCATTCTGTCAAGCAAATAGTGTAAAGTGCCTTTCCCAAAGGACACAGCACACTGGGCCTGCCAGGGATTCGAACCCAGAACCGTCAGATTCTGAATCAACAACCATAACTACAAGACCGGCACCTTGCTATGTTTTTTTTTTCAAGTTGAACGACCACAAAATACTAAATTCATCAATTTTTTCAAGGATTTGACATCGTAGTAGGAATAGAAGTAAGATTTAAGTTTGTACTCGAAACAATACTGCAGCACAAAAACACCGTATTATCATTATACCAAAATGAAACCACTGCGAATAACAATATCGTTCTGATAAAATGATTTGTGAACAACCATAACCCCTAACCACGAGACCACCTTGCTGTTTTCACCCTGTAGGGCCAGACACCATCCAGCCCGGGGAGTGGGGGCAGACGGACAGTCGTTGGGAACTGCCTGCCATTGTCTTGGATTGTGGGACGGACTCGGTGAAAGCAGGATTCGCGGGGGAGGACACCCCAAGAGCCGTGGTGCCGACCGTAGTGGGGACACCTAGACACCAGGTATGGAACTGCACACGGCTAGCACACGGGCAGTTCATTATGGGGTTAATGACCGGCCATGAGGTGTATACGGCGTCATAATTCATGGTCGGTTCCTGTAACCACCGAATAAACGACCGAGTTCGCGAATCATGTATACTCCGTATACACCGAAGGAAAGAGGATAATTCACGTTATTATCATATAGATATCATCATACATATGTGTTTACCCTGGAATGAGTAAGATGTATACCAAATTGACACGTAAGTGAAACAAATCTTGTATAACATGTATATCTTTGTGGTCATAGGAAAATAATGCGTGTTCCGTTTGGGGTCATCCATTATCATTGGAACTGAGCGCATGTTCCATTTGGGGTCATCGGCGGTCATTTGTATCACGGTTTCAATCTTTCAGTACATCTTTTTCCAGCTCATCAACTGTGGTTTTAAAATGTTAAAACTAACTGTTTTTGCAGAACGTGTTTATCGGTGCCGACCAGCAGGACTGTTATATCGGCGATAACGCAATGGCGCGGCGGGGGGTCCTTTCCTTACGTCATCCAATCGTCAACCGTTACGTCAAAGACTGGGACGACTGGGAAAAAGTGAGAATACAGTTCTAAGCCTCATGTTTTCTAGTTTTACTTCAACTTGAGTAAGTTAAATATTCATAATTTTGCATAGATTATCATCTTGCAACAAGGTACCTGGGGGAAAAATCACTAGCCTTACACAAGCATTCTAGACACCCTTGGATGTGCAGTTAAAAATGTGATCTTGTGCATTGTTACATGTTGCTGCTAGTAGATTCATATCATTACAATGTATTTTGTTACTATTTTCATGAACGATACTAGTAATTTGACATGGAAAAATCAAAATATTATCTCTTATAATGGTGCTTGATATACCATCGATTGATTCGTTCTTTTTCATATTCCTTTCTTTCTTCATTCCATCGTCATTTATTCGTTTATGTGACTCAGGTGATGCATCACGTGATCACGACCACCCTGCGCGCGCAGCCAGACCGGCCCGTACTGCTGATTGAGCCTGCGCAGAACCCCCTAGCGGATCGGGAGAGGATTGCAGAGGTGAGTTTGTATGTGCATGAAAACGAAGTTGTGGAAAAATAATCACCTAAATAAGAATATAGACATGATAGACCCTAGAAATTTTAGAGCACTTAAATATTTTCAACGTAAAATCTACCATAATGTTACCATTACCATTGAAAGCTAAAAAAAAATATTGCTCTCCGTGTCGGGGAATCGAACCCCGGTCTCCCGCGTGACAGGCGGGGATACTCACCACTATACTAACACGGATTGGCATGAATGAGTGGCTCAAAATAGCCTCTGCAAGTCTGAGAGCGTCATCTCAGCTGGTATAGTACATGTACGTGAAATATGATATGCATATTACATTTCAATTGAGTATATCAGCACTTTAATGATAGGCAGATTAGAAAGGCAATAAAAAGTACCGAAAAGCAATCCCACAATGCAAACCCGTTTTCCAGGGCCACATGATTATCTTTCTTATTAATTGAAATAATCTTCCTTGGGCTAAGGACCAACGTCAACGACAACATATGTTCACTTTGCCCTGACACTTGTTTGCTGCCGTGTTTTTTTTGTTTTGTTCGTTTGTGAAAATTATATAAAAGCAAGGGTATACTTTGCTGTCGTCTTTTTGTTTGCTAAAAATATCTAAAAAGCTGTGGATACATTTTCACAACAAAGTTATTTCACAACACCTAAAGAGGCTGTTGCCGTGCGTTGGTGTTGGGTCCCGCTCACGGTGTGCTTTGTACTGATTCCGCATGAATCCGAAGGAAAAGACAATAAAAAGTATTGCTCTCCGTGTCGGGGAATCGAACCCCGGTCTCCCGCGTGACAGGCGGGGATACTCACCACTATACTAACACGGACTGGCATGAAATGTTAGACATCCAGGCGCGTCCACAAACATTACCTCGATATCGCATGATATTTATAGCTCAGACAGCTGTCTCTTCTCACACAAGTATGATATGACGTACTATCCAAACAGAGGTCTAGGCTTCCGCTTATTGTTTTAAGTGTTTGTAGACGTTTTTATGGAGTGTCTATTCTACTGTAATCTTTTTTTCGCCAGCCAAACTTCGGGTGGCGTACTAGTATTGGATGCTGCCGATGATATTGTTTTCCCAGTTTCAAAGCCAATTTGATAGTTGTCTTGCAGCCAACAAAAGATCGGATTGGAGATTATGCATGACGTGCTTACTATATTGAGGTAACCATAAACTAACATGTAAAAAAATAAGAAAACTTAGAAAAGACTTTGTCTTATTGAATCCAACCGAATCTTATAAACATACGAACTGGGGAGTAAGACTTTAGAATTCGTAGGAATACTTAAACGCACATTTGACTCAGGAAATGATAACGCAGTCGACGTCTACAATGTCACACTTTAATGTTATCTTTTGGAAACCAATAAAGCCAATCATGTGTCCCCAATAGTTGCTGTTTGAGGCTTTGGATGTGCCCGGCCTGTACCTGGCGTCCCAGGCGGTGTTAGCGCTGTTCGCCTCCGGTAGGACCTCAGGAGTGGTGGTGGACTGCGGCGCCGGTCTCACGCACGTCGTCCCCGTGTACGAGGGGGTACCGCTCACACACGCCATCCAGCGGATCCCAGTGGCAGGACAGGACGTCACCGAGCACCTAGGCAGGCTGTTGGCACAGGCTGGACACGGACAGCGTAAGATAATTTATATGCTTATTTTCGCAGAAGATACCTGTGGTGTTTGATTACATTATTAAGCAAAGGGATGGTCACCATATATATGAATGTGTTTGAGTAAGAATAAACAGAGCAGTAATTGTGGAAGTAAACATAATTACTTTGCAAATGTTAATTTTCTGGTCTTGAATGCTCTTCTTTTTATAACAAAATCTACTGAATATTCATAGGGACCATAGGGACTGATTTCGCGAAAGCGTTTGATCGCGTAGATCACACAACCGCAATCTCGAGTCTCATAGATCTTGGCTGTCGACCATCCCTTCTTCCATGGCTGGGGGATTTCCTGACGGGGAGGAAACAACGCACCCGCTACCAGGACACGCTGTCTGAATGGAGGACGCTGACATGTGGACTTCCCCAGGGCACCGTCCTCGCGCCCATAGTGTTCATTGCTATCATCAATAGCGCAGCAAGCACAGCCCGATCACACCACTGGAAATTTGTGGATGATCTGAACATGGTTGAAAGCAGATCAGTCAAAGCACAGTCAAACCTACAACAAGATCTAAATGCCCTCGATCTATGGTCTAGTACAAACCACATGAAACTACACCCAAACAAATGCAAGGTGATGCATATCGTTTTCAGAAGAACACCTCCCCCACTCCCCACACTTCAGTTAGCGGGCCACGTCCTTCAAGAAGTTACTGCAGCCAAGTTACTGGGAGTCTGGGTACAGAGGGACCTAAAGTGGGACAGTCATGTTACCCACATGGTGAAACAGAGCAGTAAACGGTTATTCATCCTACGACGGTTAAAGAAGTTCAAGATCTCCGAGACAGATCTTGTCACCGTTTATACATGTTACGTGCGCCCCTTGTGCGAGTACGCTGTACCGGTATGGAACCCTGGTCTCACCAAACTCCAGTCAACCCGTCTAGAGACAGTTCAACGCCGCGCATGCCGCACCATTCTGGGCAAGAAGTACACCTGTTACTCTGAAGCACTTACAGTCCTCGGCCTGTCTACCCTTGAAACAAGGAGAGAACTGCTGTGTACGAAGTTCGGACTCAGTCTACTGAACTCTGCTTCCTTCAGACACTGGCTCCCTCCATCTCGGGGCGAAGTCAGCGGGCGGAAAACCCGAACTAGTCACAAACTGAACTGTATTGTTGCAAAGACTCAGCGCTACCGCAACAGTTCCATCCCATATATTGTTAGCCTACTAAATAAGTAATCGAGCGTACTCGGTTACGACCTTCCAGTCATTGAGGGGTAATTAACTGTCATGCCGTAATAACACGTTTTGTTTAGTAGCCCTCTTTATGACCACTGTTTTACCTCGAATTCGTAATCTTAATATGTATTTTATCCAGCAATGTAAACTTATTAACATTTATAACTCTAATAGATTTTACCATATGTGTATATGTTTGTAATAGATGTTGTTCGATTTTAAAGCTTTTAATGGGTTGTAATTGTAAGTAACAGTGCAATTCAGAACCCCTGGGTTCTGCAAAACTGTTTTACGTCGTTATCAATAAACCAGTCATATATTTGAAATTCTTATCTCTTACAAGAGCAATATTTGGAATGTCCTTCAGTTTTGACTTTTTTTCGAAAAGTCGAATCCGGCTACATGTCCAACCCGTTCTTTACCATTTTTGTTGCAGTGAAAACTGAGATCGTTAATCAGGTGAAGAATCAGCTGAGTTATGTAACCATGGACTATGACGCGGAGGTACAGAGAAGTGTGACGTCACCAGATGACGTACAGATGACGTATGACCTTCCGGACGGCCAGGTGTTGTCTGTGGGAGCCGAGAGGTTCATGGCGCCCGAGGTGGTCTTCAGGCCCGAGCTTATAGGTATGACTGTATGAGGGTCTGCAAACATTTTTTAATGAAACCATTTCAATTAGTCATAAATTGATTGTGCAAGGCCAATCAGGGGAAAAACTAAAAACAAAACGAAGGGGACCCAAATTCTGCTTGGAGATATCTTTTTGGGGACAAAGAAAGGGGTAATAAAAAAACTTGGCTCTCCGTGTCGGGGAATCGAACCCCGGTCTCCCGCGTGACAGGCGGGGATACTCACCACTATACTAACACGGATTGGCTTGGAAGTCAGCCTACGTATATCCAGCCGGTATCTAAGGGTGCCCATAGTTCATAGTTATCCCTGTTGATTGCAAAACATCCACTTTTGGTAATGAAATCTTGAGTTAGGCTCATACATGATCATACATGTTCTATCCCTACAGGAAAGGACTGTAGTGGCCTTCCCGGGGCAGTCCTCACCAGTATCATGCAGTGCGATGTTGACCTCCGCCGGACGTACCTGGAGAACGTGTTCCTTAGCGGCGGCACGGCGTCCTGTCCCGGCCTGTTGGACCGCCTCTCCCGGGACCTGGCGGCCGTCGCGCCCGAGGACCATCCCGTCACGGTCCGGCCCGCTACAGCGGACGTGCAGTTCTCAGCTTGGAAGGGAGGGTCCGTCCTGGCCGCTTTACGGTCCTTTCAGAACTCTTGGATCACGCAGGAGGAGTTTGAGGAGCATGGACCTAGCATCGTCCATAGGTGGATCTAGCCCTATCTAACACCACTGGCACAGCGCCGTCCAAAGAACAATCTAGCCTCATCTAGCACCACATAGCTATAGCATCTTTAAAAGTGCTGCTACTTCCAGAACTCTTGGATCACACAGGAGGAGTTTGAGGAGCATGGACCTAGTATCGTCCATAGGAGGATCTAGCCCTATATAGCACAACATAGCGTCGTCCATAGTAGAATCTAGCCTTTTCTAGCATCAACTAGCTATGGCATCTTTAAAAGTGTTGCTAAAGGTTGGGAGTCCTGACCGCTTTGCGGTCCTCCCAAAACTCCTGGATCAGGCAGAAAGATTTTGAGGAGCATGGACCTAGCATCGGTCATAGGATTATCTAGCATTATCTAGCACCGCCTAGCATCGTGCTGCTATAACGGTTGGGAGGGCCCGTCCTGCACTATTCACGACCCTTCCAGAACTCGTGGACCACGTAGGAGGACCTTGAGGAACATGGGTTGTCCATAGCATTAGGATCTAGCCTTATCTAGCACCACATAGCATCGTTCATAGCAGAATCTAGCCTTATGTAGCACCACCTAGCGTCATTGAAGTGCTGCTAACCTAATGGTTCTGTAAGTTTTTTCTGTAATGTTCCTAGTAGAGTTTTAGCATGATTCGAAATATTGTAATCATGAAAAATTGATAATACGGATTGGAGACGATTGTAAATATACAAGGAGCAATATAAACTTGATATGCCTCTGCAATATTTGTAAATACTGCACACAAAACAATGAAATTTTAGGAACAGGGCAGGTCCCTATACTATAGCAATGCACCAGGTAATGGTGGTCCGCATAGCATATCTGGGTTTTGCATTCTCTGTTTTTACAACAAAAATGTGCACCATGAAATACCGTGTTGCCAACTTCCTGTACAGTTGTGTCATATTTTGTACACATGTCCAAATATGAATCAAAACGAAAAACATTATTTTTGTCGCTGGTGTCGTCGACCCTACTAGTTTAAAGTTGACTACAAGTTGTCACCATTGTTTGAGTTCAAATATAAACTGTTCCCAGATAAATTAACCGGATTCATATCCAAAATATAGCGCTGTAGAGTTGGCTAAAAACACTCCAATCCCAGCAAACATTGCCTGGATATCAGGAACAAAAGGATGGCAGCCTCCAATGAGGATCGAACTCATGACCTCTGGTTTACTAGACCAGCGCTCTAACCACTGAGCTATGGAGGCTTATGTATAGCTAGTGAAAAACTCTCCAACAATGAAGAGCAACTTGTTGTCACCACCGAACAAGGAGAATTTCGTTGCCATGACAACAGCTGTTGACAGCTGGCAGCAGTGCTATGCTTCACGGCGGTCACGTGGTACATATTCGTCTCTTGTATCTTGAACAGCTTCTCTCCAAACAGAGCTTTAGGCTTCGGCTTGTTTTTGACGTGTTTTTAGGCGGTTATGTCGATATCGGACTTTCTTAATGTACTGGTTGGTAAAAAATATACCAGTACAAAAAAGAAAACCCGATAAACACCTGAAAAACTATTCCAAGCTATAACAGTTAAACCTCTGCTTGGAGAGTACTGATAAACAGCGAGTACAGGGGGAGCGGAAACTAGCCGCTGAAAGGTAAGGATACTCTTTATAACTAACGTTATATCAACCCAAAACGTGAATCCACTTACTCGATCACTCCGTCGAGCTGGCTCGGAATCTTCCCTTGAAGAATTGATTCCCTTGATAAATTGAAGAAACGTGAAGTAAAACTGGTTGAAACATATTTAATATAACAAATTCAATCCAACGAAGAGTTGCCTGAGCGTCCAGTAAGCTCTGCAATCAAAATTAATACGTCATTATTTGTGCAAACACTAGTATCGTTGAAATTTACGTTTAATCCACGATCTGTCGTCGTAAAACTTGGCAGCAGCAAGCGGAAGCGCTGGGTTTACTGAAATTTAAATTTGGCGCCATAATCGGCCATGCGTCACGTGATCATCTGCTCACGTGATCCACTTCCGCGTCGCGAGGTTACGCGATTGACGGGCTTTGACGGGCGATCTCGAAAGAATACAAGCACTAGACGACCTTTTCCTGTTAAATTACGGTTTCACAAACTATAATATGGTTTTTAGTAGCACTATATGTTTCGCTACATGGCTACCGCCGGTATTGTTGCTTCATAGGCGTATACGATAGCTCGTCGCCCAGCGGTCGCCACCTTAGCTCAGTGGTAGAGCACTGGTCTCGTAAACCAGGGGTCGTGAGTTCGAACCTCACAGGTGGCTACCATACTTTTTTGCACAGTCTCACTCTTTTTATGATTCCCAAGTAGACCTTTTGATGGCTACAGAACAGTATCAAAACGACCAGGCAGTATCCATTCGCCATTCACCACTCGAAGATGTGCCGATAATTAAACTTCGCTCAACATGTAAGTTGTAACGTTATATGCATTTTATGGTATTATAAATAGGACAAAGACTGATATTCCATCTAAAAATACATACAACAAAAATATTGCTCTCCGTGTCGGGGAATCGAACCCCGGTCTCCCGCGTGACAGGCGGGGATACTCACCACTATACTAACACGGATTGGCATGACTATACCGTTTGTATAAAGCATTTCAATATTTTCAGAAGTACCTTTGATGGTACTTGTGTCGACACACTTGTTGAACCCCTACTCTTCAAGCAGAGGTTTGGGTTATTTTTGGCGTGTTTTTAGGCTTTTTAAAAATTATTTATTGGGATTTCTTTATTGCACTGAATTTTTTTCCAACAGAAAAACCCAAGTTGGGTTGGGTGGAAAAAATTCTATGGATGCCAAAATAATCAGTCCCACACAACTCAAGGAAAGCAAAACATATTGAAAGTTTTGTAACGGCTTTTAATACAAAACTTAAAAAAAATGAAAATATAGAGGAAAAAACAGTAACTGTACAGAAATTTACAGAACAATTGCCTCTGAGGTGTCCATTCCACAATTTAGGCCTCACAAAAGTGATGGAATTGACAAAATAATACAGCTAAAATTCAAAAGCTCCACAAATATAGCACTTTTGAGGTACTGATGTGGTCTGTCTCAAGCCAACTTGACTGCTTTGTTCTAAGGAATTTTATTGCATCTGAAATGATGCATCTAGACATTAAAAAACATACATAAAATCATAACACAATGTGTAACTACATTTTACATTTCTTTTAAATTTTTTTTGTTGGGTTCCTCAATTGTAGAAATACATATTAGTATAAAATATATGTAGCTTTTTGGTTTTAATCTCACATCATAAATCACAATGTTTACAACACATTTAATAGAAAAGCTATAATATTCATGTAAAATGGCAAGATATCCACATTTGTGCAACAATGTATATTTTTCAGTCATTCTAGACCTCGCTTGTTTCCAAGTCAATGTCTTTCAACTCTTTTTTCTTCCCCCTTTGACCTCCAGGGAAGTATTTCAACTCTGTTCCCGACTTATCTGGTTTCCTTGACGACCTCAACTTGGATGGTGATTGGTCCCTTCCTCTTTTCGAATGCAACAAGGCACCTGACTGGTCCACTCGGTGTGATGTCTGTAAGGTGAGAGGTGATTGGGTGGGACTTTCAGGGACAAAGAAGGGGTCCATCTGCTCCATGGTGGACATGCTCAGGTCTGTCTCTGGCAGCTGGAGGATGCCAGGTGTGGCCGGATGCGGCTGGTTACCTGTTCTCTGAAACAGCTGTAGCCTGTACTCAGGTGTTGCCAGGTGCTTCATTTGCGAGCGGTACTGGTCAACAAGGTTTTGTCTCAGGGCACCTTTTGGTGTTTCTGTTACGACCTCATTCCCATGCCCTTCTAAGACCCGCTCCTTCGATTTCGACCTTGACCTGTGACCCTTCTTAACCTTTGGCTGGACAGTCTTGATGTCTGCTCCCATCCAACCTTTGACCTGTACTGCAGAGGGGTCAGGAGGTGAAAGGTCGTCCTCTTCATCACTCATGATGTACCTCTCTGCTTCCCTCCTGTTTCTCCTGGACTTGGTGTTGATGGTGGGAAGAAGTTCACCGGCCTTCTCAAAAGGAGACTTTGGACGGACTCTTTCTAACTGTTCTCTTCTCCTCCTCTCATCCATCTTTGTTGTTCTTTTCTTCTCTCCATCATCTTGACGAACAGCATGGCCAGGTCGTGGACTTTTGTCACGCCGTGAGACAAAAGATGTTTCCTGTATCTCCGACTCTCCAGCTTCCTGAGAATCTGCCTGCCTGTTCTCCAGAACCATCCCATCCAGTCTTTTCTCTTTCGCCTTCTTCTTTAAGAATGGCACTTTCTTCTTTGACTTTCTGTCAACATCTTGGTCGTCTTCCCTTCCTTCTCTAGTTTTGGAAACCCTCTTCTCTATTTTTGAGTCCACTTCCTTGTTCATAATGTCTGGAAGTGGACTGGTTGTGGATTTTTTATCCTCTCGGTGTCTTCTACTGCTGTCAGTTTCTTCTTTCAGTCTTGGTGACGTCGGCCTACTTCTGTGCCTAGGTGAGCCCTTTTCCTCGGGTATCTCTTCCATCTCTACAATTGTAGAAGAAACTGGAGGTTCCACGCAAATGACCGCCCCCTCTTCACTTTTCCTTCTTGACAACTTTTTTCTCTCCTCTCTTCTTTCTTTAGATGTTACGTGTTTGCCCTTGGAGCTTGGTTTTGGAATGTCAACTTTACTGTCTGGAACCGAACCTGGCATTTTTACATCTACTCCATCTGGCACTTCCCCAGGCTCAGCCATGTTTAAGGAAATGTTCGGCGAGCTTTTCGCCATTTCTGTTCTACCAATCAAGACTTGCCTCAACAAGTCCTGTTCTGTTGGAATGTTGGCGGTGAACTGAAGGTCAGACTCGCTCCTGCTGATGTGTGAAACCCGATCCGCGTGGTCCATGACTCTGATCTGCCGCAGAGCGTCCGACGTGTCCGTGTCCTCCTGCGGAATGTTGATCACGATGGACGGCACATTCCCTGACCTTTGACTGCTGACCTGTTTGAGGTCGCCGTCGCTGTGTGCCCTTGGAGCAGGGTTGTTAGAGCGTAACCTTGTCAGCGAGGCCGACCTGAGGTCAGGGTTACTGACAGTCACGACGCTCGGATTACTGACAACGAGGTCCTGTAGCGTGTAGGCCTGCAGGCTGTGAGGCATGCTGGGATTGATGTGCACCCTGAGCGGAAACTTCTCCTTCAGGAGTTTCTTGACGGCGACCTTGAGCGGGATCTCCAGACTGGCCACCAAGTAACTCTTCCCCGTGAACCGCTGTTTTATACAAACTTCCAACCTCACAGTCCGTGTATCCACCATCTCTTTGTCAACATCCTCGTACTCCAGTCCTTTCTTGAAGGAGAATTTTGTAGGAACGAAGGTGACCTTGGTGCCCTCCCCCTTGCCCTGGATCTCGTACTTGACCTTGGGTTGATGCTCCTCAAGGTCAACTTTGACATCTTCAGTCTTCCTCTTGGTTTGACCCTTCTTGTCAGGGATTAGGAAGCTCTTGACATGGAGGGATGCTATCATGGACGTGTCCGCTATTGAAAGGAGAAGAATAACACATTTATTGCACATGCATATCTTATACATTTGTATATGCATTTCTAACTTGTATTTAACCCCCTTGCTAACATTAATCCTCTACAGCATACACTAATGACATGTTATATTGTGAGCAGTTGTGAAAAGCCCCACCTGGTGGTAGAAGTAGGTCCTGCAGCTCCCAAACCCGCACCTTCAGCACAGCTTTCCTGGAGTTGTACTCAAAAGACAGAAGCAAGGAGCCACCAACTGCAGTGGGGCAAAAATAAAATGAAATACAAAATAAAGATTAACGAAAAATCATCTACCATACTTTGAATTTTTTCACAATACACAACTACAACTATCATAGCGAAAGGAAACTTGTAAATAAACGTTTTCCAGTCAGTAAAAACTATACAGCTAAAAATTTGAATACAAAATTCATCAAAGTCTGTAGTACCTGCTTCCTCCTCCAGACCGACAGGTTTGTCCCCCCAGGCTGTGTCAGCTGTCTCAGAACCACCTGTTCTACTGTTGCCATGGCTACCGGTATCTCCAGAACCACCTGTTCTACCATCGCCATGGTTACTGGAATCCCTGTTCCTGGAATTGACCAGTTCCTCCTGCTGCTGCTGGATGACCGCCTGTCGGGCCTGACTGGTGGACATGGCCAGGAGACCTTTAACACCTGGGGAGGGACAAGAACAGGTCTGTTAGGAGGGCTGGTACAGTACAGATGCACAAGTACATGTATGAGGACATGTGGGAAGAAAGTTTCACTTATTATAATAAACCAATCCTGTAGCAATACAGTGTACTAAATGTACTCCAGGCACCAAATGCTTGCACCCTTCTTTGCATGTCATCACAGTCTAGATGAAATAGTGCAGCCTCCTATATAAAATACACAATCATTTGTTAGTTTAAGGAAAGTAAGAAAACTCCAGGCTACTCACGTAGCTTGTCCTTGTGCTCCTCCAGCATCTTGCGACACTCTCCCTCTGCCACATCCACACACGTCTCACCATGGTGGTTTTTCAGATCAGTGTCTCCTCCAGCTGTCAGTAGGGCCTACATGACAGGGCAGGGGGACAACATGCAGTAACATCCAGCCATGCCAACCAGGCCACAAAACTTGTCCTTTGAACAATGAACTCAAACTTGGACTTTGGAATTATTTTGTATGTTTAATTTTAAGCTCAATTTGGAACTGAACCATCTTGTTGTAGCACAGTCTTTTGAGACTGACTGACAGTAGTACATTGTAGTAGTATTAGCAGTAGTAGTAGTATTAGCAGTAGTAGTAGTACCTCATACACATGCATGTATCCTGAACTCAATCTGTACTACTGTTATGCCCTTCACATTCAGAACAATAGGACAGGATGCAAGGGAACTACCAGTATAACTGATGAGTTGTGTGTAGGCAGAAAAGCTCTTCTACCTTAAGACAGTCAGGATGATCCTCCTTGGCAGCGTAGTGCAGAGCTGTGCAGCCGTGGAGACAGTCTGCTGTGTTAGGGTCGCCTGAGGGAAGGGGAGACATTTACTCTATTTGTGTATTTATGTGTTTATGTCTATACTAACACTTACTGTGATGCTATGAGTCAGCGTACCCAAAATGAATAAATAAAAGAAAAAAAATGGTTACATCTCAGACCTAATTATTAGTAATTAGTGATCAGTATGACAATTTTCCAGAAGAATGCATTAAAATCAAGCACTAGCTAGCTACTGTCTTGAATTAGAAATATTCTCTTTTTATTTTTCATGCCTGCCATTTGATTTTGCAGTTTGCAGCTACAAAAAGATCTGCTTGGAGATTATAGAAATGGCCCATCTTTAAAAAAAATGTTCTGTTCTGTTTCAGTTAGGACACTCTTAGAAAATCCACTGACTATTCAAATGTGCACAATGCAAGCAGCCGTTAGTATGCAGACATTCTCTGATACTGAATAATTGATGCTCCTATTACAGGCTCTGACAGGGCAACTGACAACCTTTCAGAACCCCTCACTATGGGTAACAGTCAGTGCCAGGATCAGTTTACAAGCCAGTGTAAAGATAAGGCTCCTATCATATAAAGATACTGAAGTTTGGCAGAATATTGATCTACAGTATGACATTTGCTCATTAAGGAACCTGCCATCCATCTTTTGTTGTGTGACCTTCATGAGACAATGCTAGAAGAAGGTCATGCTATAGAGATAAATGAGGAGACATGACAGATCAAACTGATTGATTCTAAGTTACACTCAAATAATTCTAGGCTAATTGCTATTAAGTTAATAAGCTCATTGCTTGCCCTGAATCTCTACTCTCTAAGCAGAGGCTTATAAGGCTTTGGCCTATTTGTTATTTTCTTCGTTCTGAGGCATTTTTTCAGACTTTCTTTTTTTTTACCAGTCCTGTATCTTTTTTATTTGCCCTCTGGTCCTGGTCATTGACTAACACTTAATGACCGTTTGGAGAAGAAGAAGATGGAAGAATAAGATAAATTGAGCAAAAACAATATGTTACTCTCCTGAGAGGGTAAACATAAAAATAACGCATACTGATATAACTTTATGTATGTCTACATGTGACTGATTACCTCCAAACTTGAGCAGGAGTTTTAAGACCTCCCCGTCCCCGAGAGATGCAGCCTCGTGCAGTGGGCTCCACTGGTACAGCCCGATCTGGTTCGGGTCCAGTCCGTCCTTCAGCGCCTCCTTCACGCCAGGAACGTCTCCGTACCGGACCGCCTCGTGGAGCGCTGTGTCTGAGAAGTCAGCGTCTGCCAACTCCATGGAGACGGTTCTTCACAGTCTGAGGACAAGACAATACTAATAAATAAGTTTATTGCAACTTCATGTACATGGGTTAATTGCAAATGGACAAGTGATAAACATACATGAAACAGAGGGGGCCCCAAATTTGCCCCCTTTTTTGTAAATCATATCATTCAAAGGTGAATCTTTTAAAAATATTTTGGCATTTTGATACTTTATATTGCGAGTTTCATTGTCTGAACATTTTTATATGTTACCATGTAAATGCAAAGGTATGAAAATGAGTATTTATTTAGTGTTTCTATTATGTCAATTATGTCGGCAGCAGTATAATCAAAACCAGGATAGGCAGGATAGGCATTAATAATTGATATGCTTATCATTATTTCCTCCCCAAAGTTGGTTGCAAGCACCATTATAAAGTCAATGACCTTACTAAAGACAGTTAATGACAATGATTACTAATTGTTTTCTGATTGCCATTAAAAATTCTACGTGGTTGCACGCGTTGCTTTGCATGTCTATGAATTTTCCTGTGTGGGCGGGGCCGTGGGATGGGTTTATTGTTTCGCTGATCTCCTAGCCTGATTCTCACGGTCCCGTCTGATCACCCGTGAAAGGGAAGAATGCGCCAAGCATTTCGCCTGCGGGCCGTTGTCATGGTAATCATAAACGTTTTGGGTAATTCTCACATGCTGGGCGTGAACACTTCAAAGAGAAAGACTCAGACGCCATCTATACATTTACAAGAAAAGGGAAAGTAAAAGAAATAGCACAGATACGTACATACTTTTCTGACATGTTAATGTTTACCTTTCACGGAGTTGTTATAAAATCGAAAGGTTGACACTTACACAAGCGTCATGGGTGGTAAAGCCTAAAGGGTTACTTACCTAAAAAGTCAAGTAAAAAAAGGGCTTTCCGAACGTCTCTCCCTCATCGTTTTCCTGTCTATGGTAGATAACTGCTAGATCTACCACCTAGTGGTTGTTTGCGCAAGAAACAACCTACATTTTCCGAGAATTTACGGCTCAAAAGGGAAAGAAAGTGCACAAAAACAACTGCGAAGTTCGGACGCTACTTCCGCGATGATGACGCTGCGCCTCCCGGAGGGACCCGCGCGGGGCATAGTGGGACGGATGTGCGCAGTGGCGGACTGCGCAGGTTTCATTAATGGCGGCCGGTCGGCAGGCAGAGTTTTAACCCGGACGAAAATTTGACAACCCCGAGCCGGATTGGGAGCTTCAAACTCCGCTTTGTCGCCGTAGATCGGGTCTATGAAGCCGGATCCACCGTGTATGATGAAATATCTGCAGCAGGGATTGAGGACCTTTATGCTGGTGGCGACCAAACTATGGAGTTTCCTCTGCTACCTTCTTCGCAAGCAAGTCCGCACGGTGAGTGGCTAGTGCCTGGCTGGTTGGCAACCCTTCGGTCGAGAAGGATCAATTCCGGCCAATTTTCTTCTCAAACCCGCTACAAGATTCCTCAGAACTTTCTGACATTTCTTTGGTTCATGGTCAGACTGAAGATATAAGCGTCAGGCCAGTGGCAGCGGCAGTGGTTGTCAGGGTTAGCGCAGGCTACTTGAAAATTTGCCACTTTTTGCTTCCCCCTTGGAAAGGGGACTGCCCCCTTATTTTAATGACATAATCGTCAGGGGAATCGGCGCATTTCCCGCTCTTTTTGCAAAAAAAAGTAGGTCGGGACACATTTTCATTAACATATACCGTTACTTTATACATAACACTTGTTATTTCTTGCCAATAGTTGTGATCACATCTTGACATGTGTTGACGTGATTTTTAATTTCGTTCATTCATTCACTCACTCTCCTGTACGAAATGCATACCATATGGGTAGTAGTGTAAGCCTAATAAATCTTTAAATTGTAAAGTCTGTGTAGATATTTAACTCAGGAAATCAAAGTTTTAAGTGTCTGAGGTGTGATCACAGATCTGAGAGTCTGTTAGCTTTTTAAAACATGAATTTAAAAATCATGCACTGAAGATTTTGTTAAATCAGCTGGCATTCAAACAGATTTAAAAGGACCCCCAATTTACATTATCTTTAACAGAAGAGTTTTTTTAATTTAATGAGCTGTCAAAGATATTAACTTTTCACCAGATATCAGCAAAGGGAAGTTATAACTTAGATGTTGCACTTGAAGTTAGCTGAAAACAGAGGCATTTCATTCTTAAGAGATGCACCACATTGATAGCTGAGACGTTCAAGACAGAGGAGTTTATTTGTTTGTCTGGTCACTTTCCCTTTCATGTAAACAAAACAGTTAGTCCAGTGTACCATGTTTTCCTTGAAACAGCCCACCCCCATTTGCAAGTTTGATTGTCCTCATTGATTTTGCACATCTCTAAACATACAGTAACACACAGATAAAAATGCATGTACACAGACTATCACTGACATGCTATTAGCAGAGATACTATACAATACTCTGTACAAAATGTGTATGATTTGTGTTTTAGATAAGTAGCACTCTACATGTTTTATAAGCATTTTATTTTACCCTAGAAAATTAAGGTACAGGTATGTTTGATACCACCTGTCAACCATGACAAACTCCTTTTGCATAAGAGAGTTTAATAATGCACAGAAGTTAATTAGTTTATCATTATCATCATTAATTGATTAACATCATGATCTATTAATTGAAGTAGGAAATTATACCTAGTTTAGAATGGTCTTTTCATAACCTGTAAATGACTCAGAGCTTTTTATTGGTATCACTTACATGTGCCATGCTATTCACACATGGCTCTCTGAAATGTAAGTTGTTGGCACAAATTTGAAGTGGGTCACGAAAAGTCATTGACAACACAAATACATGTGCAGACACAAAACATACAGTGTGCATCATGGTATGTAGTGACAAGCATGTATGCATGGCTAGAGGTTGGAAATGTTGTTCCACACAGTGTTTGTTTACCCTGAGTCTTTAAATAGTGTGGCCTTCACCTAAGCCAGGCTAAAATTGCACCCCTAGTCCTACGGGAGTGGGGCCCATATAGAGACACAGAGAGAGGGATAGTGTAACCTAGCCTAACCTTCACCCATAGCCCAACATGATCAGATTTCATATAGAAATACGTCTGGAATCTGGACACTAAATGATATGGGCAGAGATCACAGTACAACTCAAGAGTCAAACTCAAACTCCTGCTACTGTCAGGGTTTTCCCTAGATGTGGATGTAGATCTACTGTAACAGACTTGAGTCGCTACTTGTTGTAAACTAACCACAAGTTCATGTAGTCAAACATGAGTTACATACACATGTACTGAGTGACATACCAAGGTCTTCAACTTCAAGGGGTGAAATCTTGGATAGTTATTGGCATTTGTATGTTGCCTTGTAAGTTACATAAAATACCAATACCAACCCTTTTTTTGCATGTTTTTCAAAGTTTGATATGTTATTCAGAACTCTAGCACTACATGTGTATCCAAACTCAAAGCCAGGTACAGAACAGATGCAGTGTGCCACATGGCAGTTTACGGGACCACTAATGCAATTCAGACCCAGACGTTCTGTTTTAACTCGGGTGTCCTGACATGACTGGTAGCACTGTGACCTGGATGGTGTTCATTTGCCCAGATAAGGGTGTATATAATGTGGCTGGGTGCCAAGTTTAGACACACAGGATTATAGTGACTGTTTATGGTGTATCGTAACTGTATACACCTGTTCTCTTTGACTTAACAATAGGTGGGAATACCTGCTGGCCTTTAAGTATGTCCAGTGGTATGTACTCATACTCAATCAGGGCTCAAAATGCCACCTGCATACTGAGTATGTAGATTTACTGTTAGTGCAGGTTAAATTGGAGCTGTGCAGGTATTTCTGGTGTCTTCCTGCTGTACCTATTAAACCTGCACTGGTCTATGTACATGTCATTGTACAGTACATGTATGTGGATTTTCATTGACTGTGTGGCTGTAGTTACTGTACTAGTAGGTTTAAATTCATGCTTGATTATGGCATTATAGATAAGTTATAACCAATTAAAACATGTAGTACATGATATAGGAATGTTTACAAAAATGCACATGTTTGATATAGCACTGTGTGAGGTATTTATATTCAGTAATACCAGACATATACATATATATACGTTCAAAACAAGGAGGATAAAAACAGGATATACAGGGCAGTTTAGATCCTGTGGTCGATAAGAAAAGACAACAAGCTCTGCTTTCCCCCAGAAAGGCCCCTGATTGGCTAAGAGAGAGGGCGGGGTTGTTTGTCCTTGAGAAAGGTCACGACAACAAGTGTCTTCTGTGGAAGGGAAGACCTTTCACCTCCAACACAACATACATACTCCCAGATGTACCTTTGCCCTATTATAAATAATTACATATGGTTATGCAATATTGTCAACTGGTGCTATGACAGGGTATGTTGTATAGTTTGGCACTTGGCCAGAATGAAAGTAATAGTGTTGGGATTTGAAAATGGAACCTAACTGACTATATGGAGTAATAACACAATATCAAGAATTTATTGGGACTTAAAATGAAGTTAAATCGTGTACATGTAACCTGTATCTAATTATACTTTATCTGACCCTGACCTTTTCTTCATGACCTCAATCTAACACAGGCTGAACTGAGAATTTCGCGAATTAACAAAGGCTCAAACAAGCAAACACAAGTTCCATTTCATATTACTGTAACCAGAACTTCTAGGCTTACTTGGGTAGACAAAATAACAAAGCTTCTACATGTATTTTCAAAACCTTGCAGAAAAATGTTACTTTTTACTTGAAATATTGTACCTTTGTGTTTGAGAACTTTGACAATCAACGTCTTTACACCTTTTTTGTTCCAACCACAAAATTTGCTAAGTCCACTTCATATAGCTTTGTAGTGTTTGACTTGTGGGTAGGAACAGTAAACAGAAAGTGTGAATGTGGTATGTATGGAAAACATAATCTGTTGTCCTCCTGATAACATATTCAACAGTGGTATGGGAAATAAGTAGCAAGAGAAATATAGTTTTCTAATAGTGGCTAGGATTTCTTTTATGTAGAGGGGGAAAATGAAAGAAAGTGCCTCCTCCACTAGGGCAAGTTAGGATTCTAGACACGGCCCTCAAAAAGCAAATAAATTACCCTCCCCCCACTACATATGTCTTCTAACTGATGGACGTTTAGCCCACCCACCACCACATGTTGGAAGTTTATCCCTTCAGGATATTTTTATATGGCACAGGATGTTGACCTCGCCCTTGGCCTTTTGACCTTTTCACCCGGACGATATATGATACACCACCATCATACACCATAGTTTGAAGTGGACACACTCCTACCCAACCCCCAGAAATCTGCATGACTGTATGCTTGGATCAGGATATATAGAACCCATCTGCTCGGTTCAGTCTTAGGTCAGTAAGCAACCAGGTGCCAAAGTCTTCTTTTCCCCAGGTTTGCACATACATGTCCATCATTGGTGGCTATTGAATCTCACAAACTTGTACTAGGGACACCCACCCAGGCTAATGCTACCAGCTACATTTTGTACCACAATACACATTTGGCCTGCATGGAAAAACAATCACATGTACAACTTACTACAAGAACCAAATGTTTCAGTTGGTATGGCCAGCAGCGGTTCATGTATGTAGTTCATGTTATATATACATTGTATTTAAAGCATTTTGAGCCCTGGTATATGAGGGGGGGGGGTCCAGTCCTCACCCCTGCCCAAACCCCTCCTGGCCCAGCCAGGTCAGCCCCAGCTGGTGCACCTGTCAATCAACCTGCCCATATATGGGTATGCTTACTATGCTACAATAACACACAAGTGGTTGTTTACAAGGCTATAGCCTGGGTAGTTAGTACTGTATTACTATCCCGCATGAGCTTAGGCTTGGTCACACTCTCTTGTCAATCAGGCATCCAGTGTAATTTCAGGGCGGCAAACAAGCAAGTTAAGTGCTTTTGAAAGCTGGCATTTTGGCTGGTATATGATTTCATGCAAGTGAGGATCTTATTGATTAATGAGAAACATTTACAAATCATCATTCGTAAAGGTGGAAATCATTTTGTGAAGGTATGAGGTCGTGGAACTCTTGTTGATGTTACATGGACCAGTGCAGGTATGCAGAAAAAAAGTATTTCAAACCTTGCAGACATAGCCTTGCTTACATGACATATCTTCCACAGCTATAGGGTTATTACTGTATATCACGGGGGACGATATGACCCAGGGCCAATCCATATCCGGTCCTCTCATACAACCAGGCGATGATAATATATGGATGTCATGGATTCTGACATGATTGATAATTATCCCTGGAATCTCAGTGATAAACACTCATTATCACCACTACATTACAGAATCCATTATCCATTTCTCCAGTCCGGGACTTCATGTGATGAAACCTGATAACTGAATCAAGCCTGTGATAGAGTAACGGTTGTCTATGTCAATTCCAACTGAAATAGATTAAAGCTGCGTTATGTAACCTTAGGATGATACGAAAAGTGAATTCTCTGCTTATTTCTTTACTTAAGTAAGTGGAATCAACCCAACTCCATGCAGTTGATTCAGGCAGGTTATATTATTAATATTAGTACATCAGTTTGAAATGACGAGTCACACCCAACCTTAGCATACATGTATCTAGTCTAGCCGTATGTATAACGTATGCTAATAAATACATGTAAATAGATATTGTTAAGACTGAAGATTCCCTTACTTAGCACTGCTGTTATCGTACAAAGATTCAAGAGAAGCATTCTTTGGATCAAATATCAATTTTGAGGAGATGGCATATATAAACGATGTACATGTATATGCAGGAATGTGCATAATAAAGTGTGTAAACCTCAGGTATAGGAATCCAGGTCAGGCCCCGGGGGACTACAGGCTATTTAGGCCAGTTATTAGTCCTGAGGAAGCTCCAAGCAGAGGTCTAGACTCTAGATCTAGGTCTGCCTCGTTTTGTTGGTTATTTAGGAAGTACATGTACATATAGCTGTAGATCACCAGAATTTTTCATAGATGTATGGTTCTGAAAAATGACCTGCAGTTGGCAGAAAACATTTTGAGATAGATAGCAGAATAAAATTTGACGTAGTATTGTATTACATGTATGTAAAGCATTTTTCATATAGAAAACAGGAAAAAATTACATGATTGAATTTTGTACCTTCACGATGACTTGCATGTTTCATTTTCCTACTTGTCATCTTTTAAACCAAACATTGTGCATTGTACTACATAAAGGACCAGAGAAATTCAATTGGTCCTATATAAAGGACATACAAATGGCAGCCAAATAAAACCCCAGTGTGCATGAATAGTAAGTAAGTATAGACCACCAGGCTGGAAAGTCCCACTGTCCATGTGGAAAGCCTGCAATTTACTGGATGGGCAAATACATGTACTTCTTTTCCACAAAAGATTTTTGCGCAGAATAGAACAGAAGCAAACCCAGATAAAAGAACTCTGCAACAGAGCTTACACTAAGTTACAGATGTACCTTATGACTTCCATGACAGACTGTTATTGTGGTATAGGACTGTATACCTTTAAGCAGGTGTGCAAATTACTTTAATGCATTTGTATTCAGGTCAAGGAGGGAGGGATGAACAAACTCATTAATCTTATAACGGTGACAGGTAGATCTGAATATCTCATTGTCTAAACACATATGCTTTTATACTAAGTTACCTTTATCTACTAGACGAAGATATAAAGAATAAGATCCTTTCTGTGTGACCAGACTGAAAACCACTTACACTGCGAAGGGTCCCTACTGATCTTTAACATGCTCTAGGTGTGGCTCTCCTTAAACACGGTCCTTTCCAAAATACTTACGTTTATAAGTACTGGCGGGAAATTTCACTCACGGCTGTACTTATAAACGCCAGTACTTATAAACGTAAGAACCACTGACGGGCCGTGAGGTAGGGGTAAACTTTTGAATGGGAAGGATTTGTGCAACGCCACTTGGCAGAAAGGTGGTCCAGAATGTTTGCCGGAGCATGGGCTACTTTAAATTTGGCGGCACAGCCTTTATTGTTATTTTGCAGACGATTTTCGTGTCGACTGTGAGCTGTGCCGCCATTGGGGGCTAAGCAGAAGGACGGGGGCAAAGCAGAATTGCGCCGGGGGCGTAGAGGAACGACGGGGGCGAAGCAGATTTTTTGCGGGGGCGAAGCAGAACGGGGCGGGGGCGAAGCAGAACGGCGGGGGCGAAGAGGAAGGAGTTTCATGTGTGACCAGACTGAAAACCACTTACACTGCGAAGGGTCCCTACTACACGAGACATGTGGTGTGATCTTTAACATGCTCTAGGTGTGGCTCTCCTGAAACACGGGACTTCCGGTCCTATCCAAAAGGACGTCCCCAATCAAACTTTCAAAGCTAGGTACTCATTTTCAGTCCAGTAAGGAAATACATGTAGGTGTAAAGTGCTTTTCCCAAGGACACAACACTGGAGCCTGCCAGGGATTAGAACCCAGAACCCTCAGATTCTGAGTCAAAAACCCTGACCACAAGACCACTTTGCCTTATGAATATATACTATGTAAATCTGCCCTCCTCCTCTGACCCTGCCAACCAGGTTTTCCCCTTGACTTAACCTGTCGGCAATGGTGCCTTTGTGTGGACCCAGTTGGGTGAGAGGAAGGTCCTATCCTCCAACAAAAGGCACAGGTTTTGGGGGCCAGAAATGCCACTAGCACACAGTTATGCACATTCTTTGTAATGCATTGAACTGGATAATACTCAGGACCAACTATACATTGTAACATGTAAGTTGAATAGTTAGATCAGGTCATATAAGTCTTTCAACTCGCCGAACAGCTTTCCTTTTCCCTTTCAGGATACAAATGTAAGCTTAGGCAAGGGTGCGTCAAACTGTTTTTCAGTGAAATTTAGTTCGAGACTGAGAGATTTTCAATGTACATACAATACATGTGTACTTGTCATGAGTATGAAATATTTGTGAATAGGTACAATTAAACATACTGTCAATTAGAATTAAGAATGATAGAGAAACCAAGGGAGGTTTCATGAAAAGGGTTTTAAGATTCACTTTTGTGTGTGTGTGTTTTCCAAAGGTTTTGCTATTTTCATTGTTTAACAAGTTGTTTTCTGTGTGTATTTCCAGATCATCCAACATCAGACAGTCCGGTATGACATTATGCCTCTCTCGCCGATCTCCAGACACAGACTCAGTAAGTCAACTCTGTCTTATAAACTTAATGTTGATGGATCATATCTCCGTTGATACTTTTATCGATATCATTATCTTGTACAGTCAAACCCATCCAAGGTGACCACCCAGGGGACCGAAAAAAAGTGGTCTCCTTGGATGGGTGGTCTCTGCCAAAAGTACTATGCACAGTACCTTAAGGGTTTCATGCAGTATGTTCTACCGATTTGTCTTTGACTTAATTGCCTTTGTCTAGAATGCCATGAAATCGCTTTGCTACCTACCATCCAAAATTCGTGACCCAGATCATGAGATATCGAAACTGGAAGTTCCACTGCAGTACCATCTTGTCTTGGGCCCTTGTCGTCTTGCCAGACGATCTGCAGCATCAGTTGTTCTCTGGGGGTCTGACTGGGCAGCGCCTCTCGTGGCTGGTACAGCCGATTCTGGCCCGGCAGGCTCTGCCGCAGAATCGGCAGCAGTACTCCTGTGTGGCGCTTTTCTCTGCTACGAGTCCTTTTCGTCTACTCCTTGCATCTGCCTTCCTGGTCCCTCTGGCAGCTTTGAACAGTTCTGTCACTTTGTGTATTGCTGCTCTCCACTTACTCCTAGCAGTACCATAGCAACTCTATTAAACATCTGATATCATTCAATCACCTTACACAGCACCCTCCAAAAAAATATCCCACTGACAAAGGCATGAGTCCTCAGAACAGTAGTTGAGATTGCAACACGACAATACAATGTGGACGCTAGGACATTAGAACACATTTTTTCTCTTTGGCATGTCAACCACCAATGCACATGATCATTCCTGCTCATAAGTACACTCTGTGTTTATTGATTTATTCTGTGTTTGTTCCTTTCAGATGGCGTAAAAAGGAAAGTGCTGGTTTTAGACTTAGACGAGACGTTGATCCACTCTCACCATGACGGCGTCATGAACAGAACAGTACGGCCAGGAACACCTCCAGACTTTATACTAAAGGTAAGAAAAAATAATACTAAACTTCAAGATATCTGTGAATAGTTTATCAGGTTGGTAAGTCACTGAATAAAGAGCCCCTTTTTTTTACACAAGTGTTTCATTGATTCATCTGACATTTTGATAACCGTCACTGGCTGAATAAAACACTTGGTTGTGTAAAAGAGTCTTTTTTTTTGTAAGATAGATACTCTCCAAGCAGAGCTTTTGGCATTTGTAGGCATCTGTCAGGTTTTATATTTTAAAAGCTTCTTTGGTTACACTACTTGCAGCAGAGGTTGGTATACCCAAAGAAACTCCCACAAAACATGTAAATTTTTGTAAAACACCTAAAAAGCATCCACAAGAAGCCTGACTTCTGCTCAGAGAGTACAAGAAAACACAAAATAGAACCAGATTACTGGTATTGTATGTGTGAAGTTGTCTAGTGACGTGGCTAAAGCTGAAGCATCTATTCAAGACAGGCTTAGGTACCTCAATAGTAGGTGCCCTGGCATCATTAGATTATAGGTTTTCCCTCCAGCCAGATGTACAGTGAACATTCGTTTGCTTTATTTTGTGGAGCTTACACATCAAGTCAAACCTTTTCTGTAAGATGGGTTGAACAAAATCACATTTCTAGGCCTCTTTCAGGAATTGGCTCCTTTACTATTGGTGGGTGCTTTAGCTTTCTCACTGCAATTTGTATGTAGCTTATTGTTACCACTGAAAAGCAAACCTTTATTCAGTTTTTCAAAGATATTTGCTGAGAAACTTTTGCTGATATTTGCTTAGGAACTTTTGTTGACTTCTTTCCCCAGATCACAATAGACAGACATCCAGTCAGATTCTTTGTGTACAAGAGGCCGCATGTTGACTTCTTCCTGGATGTGGTGAGATCTTTTCACACACTGAACTCTACATCAAACTGTAGATGTTTTACATATAAGCCACTATTTATATAAATTTTGTATAATGTTGTTTCTGATCGTAGTACAATGAAGTAATGAATTACAGAAGTGCAGTAAAGCATTCAAATATTTTATGTAGTTTCACATAGTTTAGGGAAATTTACAAATATATGATGGACTTCAACATTGGTATCACTTGTAGAAGGATGCATTATGCATCATGATATGTAACTCTTGCAGGTTTACATTAGGAAGTTATTGGTCATTGATTATCCTAATGAAGGCGACAGTGGTTGTTGAAAATTGATCTTTTGCGTACTCTTTGTGTTGGAATAAAGTTTAACTTCATATTATGTGACAGTTGATACATAAACCAACTTCAAATTGCACACAGAACAATTTTTTCATGACGAAACCATGATTTTTCTCTGTACTGTTTTGCCAGGTTTGTCAGTGGTACGAGTTGGTAATATTCACTGCCAGTATGGAGATATACGGAGCAGCTGTAGCAGACAAACTAGACAACACGAAAGGCATTCTAAAAAGGAGATACTATAGACAGGTAAGGAAGACTCTTTTCTTTCACAGGGTCAAACTAATTAGTACAGTGACTACCTAAGATTTGCAAGCAAATGATGCTGTCTATGTCATTCTCTGTGAATTTAAGAAGGTTGGTGAATGATTGAATAGTTAAGTTTTTCATTCACAACCACTTGTTTAAAGTATCATCTAGCTTCAGTTCACAGCAAACCAGTCAGAATTTGCCACGATGAAGATGACAGACAGTCCTCAAAACATAGACTCTTGTTAAACAAGTGGTTGTTATTTAATAACTTTGTTATTTTATATCATTTCAAATTGCATATTAAAATACAGGAGCTACACTTGCATAGCTAAAACCAAGCGTTTATAGTTATGGTATGCTCTGATGACGATGTTGTTTATGTAGTTATTTGGTTTATTTTTTCTGCAGCATTGCACATTAGAATACGGGAGTTACACGAAGGACTTGTCGTCGGTCCATAACGACTTGTCCAGTGTTATTATCCTGGATAATTCCCCAGGAGCATACAGATCATATCCAGGTGGGTGTTTGTTTGTTTGCTTGCTTGTTTGTTTGTTTGATAAATTTCTTTAGATAGGGTCCTCACACAATGAGTAGGATCTAGATGAGTAGGATCTTTCTTGTCATTGTATAATGTAACAGTTCTTCTTCAGTACTGCTTGGTTTGGTAAAGTAAGTTGTTACTTGAATGGTTTGTTACTGTAGTGTTATTGTTATTTACTTGTTTACAGATAATGCTATGTCTTGTAACTCTGCCACAACTTCCTTGAACAGGATGGTGGCTTTCTTGTCACAGTAAAATGTAACAGTTTTGTACATCATTACTTGAAAGTTTGCACCCCGTTTCTTGAAAGGTCTGCTACAGATAAGTCATGGTGTGCGGACCACAGTGACACCTGTGTGCTGTCCCTGCTATTACCGTTGTCTTATTTAGTTGTTGATGTTTACCTTTTATTTACTTGTTGTTTACTTGTTTACAGATAATGCCATCCCCATCAAGTCGTGGTTTGCGGACCCCAGTGACACCTGTCTGCTGTCCCTGCTGCCCATGCTTGACGCGCTGCGCTTCACAGCCGACGTGCGCTCCGTCCTGAGCAGAAACCTCCACCTGCACCGGCTATAACTGGTCTGTACTGGTTGGAACCAGTATGAACCGGTCGTGGCCACCCTGCACTGTACCATAGCCACAGTAGAGTCAGTAGTGTTGGGAAAAAGAACAGCCGCTGCCGACAGGTGCTACTATGAGTACCGGTTTGATTTGTTTTTACGTAAACTTCTTGTTCAAGATAACCACAGAGTTCATCTTGTTTTTGTTTCATTTTTTTTTCTTTTTAGGACAGGGCACTTAAAGCTGCATAACCTTCAAAACTTTCCAGTGAAGTGTTCCCAGAGACTCAAGAAGGAAATCCTTGATACAAAAAAAGTCTTCTTCTCAATCAACACTGTGATAAGCCAGTAAAACACTTGGACATTGAACAATGTTAACCACCCTTTGTCATTTTCTCTGCAATTTTTTACATGGAAGTTAAAACTTCTTTTTGTTCTCATTTTTAGTGTGATTTTTGTTGTCAGTCAATCCAGTTATCATAGCAACTTGTGAAGTCAGCAGTGGCTGTTCTTTTTGAAGAGATATTCTAACTGTTCCTTGTATGTTACCGGATATAAAATTACATTGAGTTTCAAAGCAATATGTGAGATTCTCCTAAATTTATAAGTAGAATCATTTGGTTTAGAGAAACTTGACCAAAATAAAGTTTAGTTTTATAATCCTACCAAATCATAGTTGGGCTACATGTAAATGAATAGCTCAGTCGTTGTGATAAAATAATTTTGTTGCACTGCACTTAAAACCAGCAAATGCTCCCTTTCCCCCTTTAAATGGTCCAGCCCATCCCTAATAATTCATGGTGTGAGTGAGGAAGAGTAGACTCCGAAATAGGGTTTTTATTGTCATACAAAATGTAGCACTTATGTTGAGCTCTTCTGATTTTGTACAGTTTTTCGATCAGTTATGCTGTAGTGGTAGGCTACAAATGGAGATAAAGCCACACACTGTCATCACCTTGCTTTTGGGGTCTAGATTTCAGCATTTGTATGAAGGGATGCTCAGAGTGTCTCTGTTAATCTCAGTTTCTTTCACTGACGAATCAGTCATTATGATAAGGCATAGCCATGATTGTGAATCATGATCACATCAAATATGAAAATTTATGGAATTTTTTTAAATCATTGCTGATGATTCAGGGTCAAAGGGAATTTATTTGGAACAGAAATTGAAATTGATGGCAGGGCTTGAAGGGTTTTGTAATAGAATGGGCCTTTTGACTTCGGCTTGCCAGTACAATGTAGAAAACTCACTGTTCATTGTTCACTCAGTCTGACTGTATTTCCCATACAACATACACATGTAGGCCATTTTTGGAAAGAGGCAGTCACAAATTTTACTTCTATTTTTACTTGTACCATAGTTTTTCCACCAAACTACTAGTATGTTATAGCTGGCATAAACTCAAGCTTTATTTCTTACCAATCGATATCCAAAGCTGGACATTTCTTTCCAATTTAACACTACAGAGCCATGCAAATGACTGTAAGCCTGAGCCTGTAGTTGTCATGAATTCATAGTTAGAAGGAAACATGCAAGGAACAGTAGTGATATGTCATTGTACAAACAAGATCACCCTGGATGTGTATAATATAGGGTGCCAGAGCTGTGTCATACATAGCCACAATCCCCTCTTCTTTCTTATGTGTCTGTAAAGAATTATGAATGATGTCCTGTCTTTGATATGTGATGTGTCCATGTCTCTTTATGCCAATTGTAACTTCTCTAAGAGATTTTTGGAACTCTGGCCAGATTTGATGCACTTTTCTTTTTACTTCTCTTGTATGATTGGCTTTGGGTGGTTGTCAATTTTTGATGATTTGAAGCAAATTGGTGTTATTATGATAGACAAAGAAATGTAAATCCCATTAATCTCTGTTCATTTGGCAGGAAAACAAGTACATTTATTGGAACGACGATTGGATTTCTTGTTATTCATTCACTCTACTTATTGCAACATGATACAAAAAAATGCACTTTTCAAATTGCAGTAGAGTATTTTGAAACACTCCTGCAGGAAGATGCATTAAAAATGAGCAATATAATGAAGATTTTTCACGAACTGATTGACTTTGGTTCTTTAAAATAAGACAGTCTTTGTCAATAAGATAATCTTTAATTCATACTCATGCCTTGAGATGACCACTCAAAGCCAGGTCCTACAAGTCTGCCAACCTTCACATTCAAAACTCAGTGGCTGTACAAATTCTGCTCTTGGTTCCCCTTGACTTTGATATTGTCAGCTTCCTAACAAAAACAATCAGTAACATTCTGTCAACTTCTTTCAGCACTCATTTCATGTGGCTTTTTTCCATGCAATAGCATTGTGAAATATTCTGAAAGCAGAAGACCCAAGGTTTTTCAGGACAGAAACACAACATCAAGTTTTGTAGGCCAACCACTACCAGTTTAAATTTGGATACACAGGAGATAAAGTTGACTGAGGTACTTCATTTCTATGAATAGCAGATCATTTCACTGCTTAGAAACAGCTGAAATACTTCTTGCAGATTTTTGGTTTCATTTTTAATCTTGATACTTGACATTGCGACCATGATATTGAGACATCTTTTTCAATTATAAAGTGAACATTTCTTGGAGAAAAAAAGTGTAAGGATAATTTTCCCTCATTTTATTAAATCCAAACAGATTCTTCAGCAATTAAGTACTGTCATACAATGAGGTAAAACATCACAAATATGCAGGGCTTTATTTTCATATAATCTAAATCCCTTTTTTGTGCAAGCCCAGTTTGTAAAGCTTCACAGATCCCTACAGATGCAGCACTAGCTCTAGGTTCATATATCAGATATAGGTGTCTGCTGTAGACGTATTAGTTTGGCTAGCAGCTATTCATCTAGAGCTACTATGTCACTTTCTAGACTCTCAACCCATGTGTAATATACAAAGTGTCTATGGCAGGTTACCATGGTAACCGTGCTGCTGTTCACATTTATGTTAATAATGAGAATAATACATCCTAATTTACATATGGTGTCACCTGGTCTCTCTGACGTGCTGTCTTCCTTATCATACCACATAACAGAATTTCATGCCCATATTTTATGAGATGTCCTTCACATGGCCAGCATGTTCTTTTTATGATATTCATCATAAAGTACTTTGTAGCTACTAGTCTTCTCAAGGTTCATACACGTGTATACCCAGTATAACTGCCACACCAGTTTTGAAAGGAGGTACCACATAACTGCAGGCATCCTTTGCAGCCAATCAGATTGCTGGACTCTCAGGAATCCACCAATCACAGAAGATGTCAGTGCTGGCATATTATACTCATAGTTAGCCTCTCCAAGCAGAGGTTTAGGTTTTGGCTTATTTTTGGCACGTTTTTAGCCATTTTTATCGGGCTCTCTTGTATGTACTGGTATCTTTTTTTTACGCTAGTCTAGTGCATTGATACACAAAGATCTGCCGGCAGACCTTTGAGTGGCAAATGGCAACTGTCTATCAAATGGATCATACTGCCCGGCCAATTCGATACTGTCTTTGCAGCCATGGAAAGATCTGCTTGGAGATTTGCCTGTCCACCACTCAGAAGAGGTTTGTCTTGAGCATGATGTTGATGAACTCCTCTTCATCCACAGCGCTATCTCCGTTCATGTCAGCCTCTTCAATCATCTCATGGATTTCCCGATCTGTGAACCTGTGTTCAGGGGATTAACGTGCAAGATTATCTCTCTCATTAATCTTTTCATTGGACAAAATCTGTATAATTGATGACTAATGTCATGATTTAAATCAGTCCAAAGTCATGTGTATTGGATGATATATACTGTACTCAAAAATCTAATCATAGACTAATGCACTGACTGTACAGGCATCTAAAAGATAGCACTGGCAGGTTGCCTGTGTCCATTGATTACACACAGTTGTTATAGAATATGTCTGGTACATTGGAAAGTGACTGCCTAGTAAGTAAGATTATCCTACAGTGGGTTACGTTTTAGGAGAAGGTTGGTTGCTTACCTGATGCCAGCATCCTTACAAGCCTGTTTGAGGTTACTGACTGTGATCTTCCCTGTGCCATCTGTAGATTTGGGAAAGGAGGGAGATTAGCTGGGAATATGGAGAATGATACAATGAAACCTAACCTGGCTAAACTTTGTACAAAAACTTGTTGGAAAGATTGCTGAAAGCTGCTGGTCATGATTCCTTTCAAGAAACCTACACTCTTTTTAGCCCTTCCTTTAGACATACCTTAAACCATACAGTCATAGTTTTTGTCCCAGCTCCCTACGTTACTCTGCATTACTACGTCCAGTCTTACCATAGTCCATCATTTTGAAGCCTTGTTTGATTTCTTCGTAGATGTCTCTGGAGTCTCCTTGTCTTTCTATCACCATCTCCAGAAACTCGTTAAAGTCAATCTCCCTGGAAAAGTACATGTACAAACTTTAATTAGTTAAGACAGTAGAAACTTTAGACACAAAAAGATTTCTCTGTTTAGCCTAAACTTATGGTCCAGGAACTTTTGTAGGTTTGTAAGATTTTAGACTTACCCTTTTGCCTTCTTGGTGACATTAAACATCATTTCTCGCACATCCTCTTTGGACATCTTGAAGCCAAGAACTCTGAAGGCTCTCCTCAGCTTCTGGGCATCCACAGTACTGGAGAAGGAAAATAAGGGTTAAGTTGGCTGCATACTTCTCAAATTCTTATTTTTCATGAAATTATCTAATATGGGCTAGTCCATCTAACCTTTGTAGAGGGTGGTAAACAAGTATAAGCATCTATGTGGCACTAAATGACAGTTACATTTAGCAGTATTCAGTATCCAATAGGCAAGGCAGTATCCCATCTATAGCCAATACAGAAGCAATAGACAAGACAGTATCTGACCAACAAATAATATCTAACAGTGGCCCTAACAGGATACTGACCTGGCCACCAAAAGATCTGCGTGGAGACTTTTTTAATACTCAGTGAATAGTTTCATCCTGTTGGTAAGTCACTGAATAAAGAGACTCTTTTTTGACACAACCATTAGCCGACATTTCTGTGACCGTCTGCTACATTCCTCAGGGCAATTCTGACTGGTTCACATCGCACTGCACAGGTGTCGCTATTTTACATTTGGAAATGCATCTGTAGCAGCGACACCTGTGCTGTGCAATGTGAACCAGGCAGAACTGCCCTGAGGAAGCCTGCAGAATAAAACATTTGGTTGTGTAAAAGGATCTCTTTATTCAGTATTTTACTACTACAAAAAAGACGGTAGTCTTACCCTGAGCTGTTGGTGTCGAAGACCTCAAAGACCATCTTGAGTTCCCTGATCTCCTGCGGAGTGAGTTGTTCTAAGATGCGGGTGGAGATCTTCATCCCGAGGAGCTCCTTCTCATCCACCTGTCTGTTCAGCAGCAGGGCTCGCAACTGGGGGGACAGGGAGGGTTTGTTTGTTTATTTGTTTGCTTGATTAGGATCTCCATCAGTGTGCCACTTTACACTGGTCTTTCTGGAGTCCACAAGGCTGATGATGTAAATCACTGTATGGCTAGTACAAAGTGTCCGCAAGGCCTTAATCCGGGTGATTTGAAGTGAATCACCAACTCTCAAATAGAAAACATGTAACTTTAGTAGTATTTTTTATCGCATCATTTTTATTTCGAAAGGTGTGGTGGATTCTTTATCATGCGTGGGATGTGGCTCTCCCTCAAACACGGGACCTCCATTTAACGTCCTATCTGTAGCTAGCCAAAGCAAGGTACTCATTTCCACCTGCTTCCTTGAAGTGTTGAACTTCCTTGATTGCAAATGTATGTTGTGGTCTATTGAAAATAAAGAAGCTTAGATCGGTACTTTGACGTGTGCCAAATGTCACCATTCGGTAAAAAATATATTATATGTATTTTTGGTTGATGGCAATACACGATTTAGATCAAAATACGCGAGAAGTATAAAAAAAGTAGGTGAACTCACGCTCTCGCCAGGTCTGGGGGGTGGCGGTACCCGGACGTTGGCGGCGATAGGGTCTTCAGGCTCCCGGGGCGAGGCGGGCTCCTCCCGGGCAGACTTCGTCTTCTTCTTCTTTTTCCCGGGCATCTTACAATCACCTTACGATCAACAAAAAATTAAAAAGAAAACAAAAACTACTCCGACTATGGTAAGAATCTTGCAGCGCGAGACAACTTTTCAGACGGAGTTTTTTTTTCATCGCGCGGCCGCCATCTTTGTTGTTGCCATGGCGACCGGACGTTCCAGTGTAAACACAGCTGACCCTTGACACCTCACTGCAGATTTGTAAGTCCCTCCGACGCTCCGTTTTAAAAACCTTTGCATAAAAACGACAAAATAGTCCTGGCCTAGATATATCGCTCAAGTTAAAGGTAAGCTTTTTGCCTTCAGCAGTGCATCAATGATAGCTATTTTAATAAGTATAAGCGTCGTAAAAGGTAGAACGCATTGTCTTCTGTGAAATCACAGCCAGTGGGTTAGCCATAGTGAACATAGTGACCCTAGAATCGTGTCCATGGTAACGTCTTGCGATTGTCAACATTACCGGCAGGCCGACCTAACGTTACCCGATAGGTGACGTGACGTACAGGTGAGAAAATAACACCTGGTCTCACCTGCGACCGACCACCCACCTCCAAATATGGGCATACAGGGGCGAGTGTTTACTAACGGCCGTGGAGGCACATTCAAACAAAAACAAGCACAGCGGTGACGGTGCGTCCGTATAAAAACGGTCGTCGTCCTCTTTTTCTCATCATTTCTACCAGTCAACTAGCATCAACTTTGCTCTGTTTAGTTGAAGGAAATCTTAAGTTCGTAAAAAATCTGGTGCCGTTTTGAGATTGGCTCAGGTGTATCGAAGTATTGAACGCGGAAGTAGAGTTCCCTGTGGTTGCACGCGGACGACATCGCGATTATTTTAAATTATTAAGGATTTTAATTAAGAACAATCGATGGCAACAGTCAATAGCCGATCCCCCCTCCAGAGCTGCCAACCCTCCCGGACAGTTATGGCCGACTCCAGGACCGACACCGCCAAGCCAGCTCCAGCGGGCAGCAAACGGCCCCAGCCCTGCGTCTTCGAGGTAAACTTCGCCGGCGACAACAAGGAGAACAGGGGCGGGAAGAAGGACCTACAGGGAGCCTTTCGCCAGGTAAATGTCCGAGAATCTTCGTACAATCCTCTAGCCTGTACATTCGTTGAACTCATCAGGATAGTGTTAACATTTTAATGTTACACGTCGGAAATTGGCAGATATGCAGACGATATCTAACCGTTTCGTCGGTGCTTGTCACACCCACCTAGCTTTCTTCATCCCATGCAGCTTCACTTCCAAACGATTGTGCATGGGCAGTACTTCTAATAGTATGTGTTTTTCTAAACTTAGAATGCTTAAAATCAGATATTTCTGTGTGCGATCTTTCCAGTTCGTTCTCGGTGGAGTGGTGGCACTAAATTAAGAAATACATTCACTAGAACTTACAATCATTTTGAACATTTCTTGGGTCCAGATATCGAAAGATCTAGACAAATTAAAGAAACGTCTCGCCTTGACATACGTTCGATGTTTTACATTGTGACCTTTTTGTGTTTAGTACAAGAAACGCCGTCAGACGGAGCTGAAGACACAGCAGCTGATGAAGGAACGTGAGCTGCAGGCCAGGGCCGATCCCAACCGCATGGCGGCGCTGCGGCACAAGTTTCTGGAAACGGCTAAGAAATACTACGGCGTGCCTTACGCCAAAAAGTACCACCATCCAGGTATAGAAACGTGCCCTCTTCATCTTAATTGTAACATAAAGTCAAAGCATCGATTTTTCCCCTTTTTAAATAGTTTTCCCAGGTCGGGCAATTTGGTTCATCAATGTTATTGTGTGAACGACCGTTAGATCATTTTTATAGAGGGCGGCAGAAGAGAGAAAGAGCTCTAGACTTTATCTCTAAGCAACTCTTTCGGTGGCTGCTAAGACATTATCAAATTGGCCAGGCAGTATCCATTTGCCTGACAGTTGTCATTTACCACCCGAGTTAGACTGGCGTGAAAAAAAGATACCAGTACACTGCAAGAGAGAGCCAGATATAGGCGTCTACAAACATGCCAAAAATAATTCGACGCCTAAACCTCAGCTTATTGAGAACGCTCAACTCACGTTAGTGCCATTTCCGCCTACCCCCCTCTCCGTGCAGACAGTCCTGAGTACGCCTCCCCCCTGTTCCTGGACTGTTGTGGGCTGGTCCGCCGGGTGCTCCGGGAACTGAAGGAGGATTTCGGCTTCACCATCGGGCCCTGGAACCAGGCCTACATGTTCGACACTTTACCCAACGTGGTGGAAAGGTAGGGGCAATTTTAATGGATCTTTGCGCCCGGCCACTTATGTCCTACGATAGGACGGCGTCTTGGGACTTACTATGTCACATCCAAGCAGATCTTTCGGTAGCGGAAAAGACAGTTTCAAATTGGCAAGACAGTATCCATTTGCCAGGTAGTTACGGCTCGTACCATTTGCCACGCCAAGGCTGGCTGGTGTAGAAAAAAAGATACCGGTACAAAAAAAGAGAGCCCGGTAAAAACGCATAAAACACACCAAAACTAAGCCGAAACCTAAACCTCTGCTTGAAGTGTAGGGCATACATGATGTATGCACAATCCGTCAACCGTGGACTTAAGCTGTACTTGTGACAGAAAATGCTGCTGTAGATTTGTTGTTGAGGGGACGTCGGGTCTTCCAAAGCTCGCTGAAAAAAATTGAAAATTGGTACATGACAAGGAATATGACCCTGTCTTTGCTAAGTCTTCGAACAAGGAACAATGGGGATTTGTCATCACATATACATTCCAGAACAAGCGTTTGTTTGGGCTGAGCTTCGGCGATTGTAAGATGTTTTATTCGAGAATAGTACAACGAGAACTGTTAAGAGATTTCTGTATAACGCCATACTCTCGGTTTTCCAGGGAAGAGGACATGACGTCCTGGTGATCTGGTGTTCGTGTCAGGGATCTACTATAACCCCAAGTCTAAGAAACAGCGGCACAACATGGTTCACGTGGAGATCTGGGCCGGAGAGGGAGAAAAGGTAAATCAGGAGTTTTAATAACAACTTATGATAGGAACTAGCTTTGGTACCATCCTGGTGAGGTTACGTATGCTCCCACAGTCGCTACCGTCCGACGGTCAAACCGGTACTAAGTATCGACTGTGGGAGCGGACGTAAACTAACCAGGCTGGATAGGAACTGTGTAAAATCTACGTTACTGCATTTTCTCTCTCACGCACGTTCAAGTACAAACCTCGAGTCGACCTGACTCTTTTAGTCGCTAACTGTACTGCTACGTTGCATGGTCTCATTCCTACCAACTTCGTCTCTTTCCATGGACAATCTTTCATCCTATTTGCTGTACTAAACTTTACAAACGTAATTTCTACCAGTAACAAATGAAGTTTTCTAATGATGCATGACACCATGCAACTGATAAAGTAAGGTTTTAGTTTCTAGCTTCTTGAGCAATTCCCAGTAATACACTGCATTCTGATCTCATGGCTTTACCCGTTTCGTTAGGTGGTTGGAGCCCGCTGGCAGCGTGGAAAGGTGCAGATGTTTGACTCGTACAAGTTCCAGTCTAAGTCTTACCACAGCATGCAGTACCACTTCCGCTCCATAGACACGTGGCTGCTGGGTATCTGTAAAAGGTAAGCTACCAGATATCCAGACAAGTGCCCGATGTGGGGCTGGTGTGTAGCCTCGAAGGCTGATGGTTTTAAGTCTAAGAAGAGAAACAGTCGTCTAAGAGAAATTCTTGGAATGACATAGATAGAATTAGATATAGAAAGGACAGCCCTTAGATGGCTAGGGCATGTTAAGAGAATGGAAGAGGAAGGATTTCAAAGATAGACTCTCAAATATAAACCGATGGGCATGCGCCCTTTAGGCAGACCCAGGAAAAGGTGTAAAGATCACATGCAAGAAATATGGGCCAAGTATATATACTGGGCAGACTAGACAGACGTGAGAAGGAGGGGTCTTCCAAGACCGAGCGGAATGGAGAACCGCCCAGCTCAACTGACAGGCCCTAAGGCCTATACCTGGGGAAGATATACTTGAGGTTTTAAAGAAGTCAACATTGAAGACAATCATATTTCTTTTTTTTCCCTCCAGCTACTGCCCTGACCACCCCTGGACGCGTTCGTCCTTCGTGCCGACCCAGCGGTCGGTGTTCGCGGTGGAGGAGCCCGCACAGCAGGACCAGGAGGCGGGGGACGGGGACGACCACGCCCAGGTCATCGGTAACCATGGCAACCAGAGGGAGGCTGCCGTCGACGACGTCACCGTCAGCGTCGCACAGGATCCTCTGACGTCATCTGACGTGCCCACATCTGTCGTCCGAGAGGATGATCCTAAGATCGACCTCATGTCATCTGCCGGTGAAACTGCAGCATCGGACGTGATGTCTTCAAATATAGACGAAACTTCGGAAGAGAAACCTTTGTTTTCTCCGAAGGCATCGTCATTTAAAGATGCTGCAGAGGAAAGGTCCGCAGATGTCACTGCATCATCCGATGACAAAAGCGGCATTCGCGTTGAAGATGTGACACCAGGTTCTTCATCAAAGCCTCTGGCTGACACCTTGCCATATGAAGAAAACGAAGAAGCCCTTCTCACTGGTAACGACGACGATGAACCAACAGCCGAGGCAACAATAGAGACACATGAACTACCGAACGGTTGTCCTCGTATCGGTGAGAAGCAAGAGAGTGAACAGGAAGGCACAGAAAGCCTGCCGTATCGTGTGTTGGGACTGCTACGAGCAGCAATGAATAGCGTACTGAGGCTTGTATACGGCTAGGATTACTTTTGACGTTTTGTTTCATATTTCGATCTAGTATATAATCTATTATAGCAACGTGGAGTATTGGAGTGTATTCTTATACTTTTACAGAAAAAGTGATGTTTTGCTATACTTGTTTGATTCTGGTGTGATATGTATGCAGAAGCTGTATCTAAAATGATAGTAATAGTACACGCTTTTTTAATGTGTGTGTTGTAATACTCAAGTAGACATGTCAAATTTAATAGGATATGCTTAGATCGTGTATGAATATGATGGTTTAAACTATTTCTTATATCACCAACAGTGCCAAAGTCATACAAGGGGCTGGTCCCTTTGTAGCTAATACTAATACATGTATATCAGTTATGACAACTATCTCTTTCCCAAGGTGAAGTTTATTGAACAATAAACAAAATATACAATCGGGATCAATCCTCCTGTTTTCATTGCAAAATGTTAACCATATTCCAGATATACGGTCGGCTTTCTAAAAGCTTCACGTCCTTGCTTTATCGGTTTCTTCCAATAACTCACCTTTAAATTTAGCTTTCTCGTAATGAGTTCTTCGGCCCTGTGAATACAGCTAGCAAACGTACCGTTCCACAAAAATCCCATATAAGTTACTAGTAAGTAGTGCGAAACCTTTTTCTTTCAATATTAGTACACCGCATCTGGTATAACGTTACTTAAGAAACATTGAATGCTACATGTATTGCGTTGCAAAGGTTACTCACAGAGCAAATTCATAAGTATTTACAGTACTTTATGACAGTTAACTGTGATTAGCCTCTACCAGGCTTCGGGAGTTGGCTGGAAAGCCTAGATATTGGCCAAATAGAGAGATAACATGCAGGGGAGTTAGTCCGCTAGAGAATATCCGGGTGAGGCAAACTGTACTCTCTAGCGGACCAACTCCCCTGCATGTTATCTCTCTATTTGGCCAATTTAGAAGCCTGGTAGAGACTAAACTGTAAGCTACATCTTTGTCCTTGTGACATCACTATGTCGTCATCTCCGGGACCCTCTCCGGGACCCTACTGTAAGTATATCGTCTTCTGACGCTTCTCCCTCCACTTCGCTCCCCTCGGAGTCTTCCGGTCTGCTTTGTCTGCCCGTCCTGGGCCGGGTGGTCTCCGTGGGTTCGCTGTCGTACATGCCCGAGGGTGGCGGCGAGCGGGTGCCGTAAGTTGACAGCGGGAAATCCGAGTCGGAACCGCCGCCGGGAATCAGGCTGTCCTCCTCTCCTAACTGGCGACGGTCATTGATATCTAAGGAAAATGAGATTATTTAATAAAGGATACAGTAAACTTTTGATTGCCAAACTTTGGACATGGAGGACTGAGGAAGCCGAGGATGGCATGCATAAAAGACCCTCTACTACTTCAAATATCAAAATTCAAATATAAGATTTATTGTTACCTATGGGGCGTCAAGAAAGTGTGTGTGTGTGTGTGTGTGTGTGTGTGTGTGTGTGTGTGTGTGTGTGTGTATCTGTCTGTCTGTCTGTAAACACGATAACTCGAGAAGGCTTACATGGATTTTCTTGATATTTGGTAAGTGGGTAGGTCTTGATGAAACCTCGAAATGATTTAATTTGGCCCCCTAGCGGCTTGTTAGAAAAGTGCAATAAAAGTGTAGCGGGCTTACATGACGGCGGTTGGCTGACCCTGATGACGTCACTCCGCTTGTACATCTTGCGCTTGGGCACGATGAGGTAGGGAGACTGCGGTCCGGAGTCCGGACCCTGCGCGCGGCTGTACCGGATTCCGTACGAGAAGTACACCAGGAAACCTAACAGAACGGAGACATTCCGGATGCTGAACAGTTTGTACATGCAAACAAGTATTGGCTACTTAAATATGGGTGGTACCCAAAAATAAAGAGACGCCTCACATAGCTTGTTTTTAGGCTATTTCAAACGCTTCAAATATAAAACGATGACGAAAATGTGCTAAGCAATGGTAGTAAATGTCAATATTAGACAGATATCCTCAACCAGAATATTTTTGGTTTTGCTACCCTGAAATTGCATTGGATGCCTTTGACTACCTGGCCAAGACGGGTACTATCATCAGGCTTGTGACCTTATATATCGTACTTAGACTTGATCCTCACCAATGATCATCCAGACCCCGAAGCGGACCCAGGTCATCGGCTGGAGGGCGATCATCAGGTAGATGTTACAGAACATGGAGATGGCGGGAAACAGGGGCACGAACGGGACCTGGAAACACACAAACAAACGAACACGGAACAACGTTAATAATATCGATGTATTAACCTTTATTTATCATAAATCCAAGTGACGTATTGACTATATTATTATGCGCAGGGAGTACGCTCTTTTCACTACCATTTGTAACACGTTTGTTTGACTTGGTTCTGAAAGAAAAACTCTTCAGCAGTATAAAGGTAGTTAGCATTAATTTGGTGGCTACGTACAAGACTATCCAGTAATTCAATGATGTTAAAACATCATTGAAATCGTCAAGTACGTATCAACCATATGAAGTTTTTAAATTAGTTTTAACAGAGGAAAACATCAGCGTGATACTAACCTTAAACGTCATGATGTTCCTGTTCTGTTGATGCGCCCCGATGACGATGAGAGACAGGAAGAAGCCGACAGAAAACACGGTCACTCCCGTCAGCGCCCACCACTTCTGCTGCTGAATAGCTGCAATCATAGATGGGGAAACATTATGAAGAGCCCACAATCCGTCCAAAACGTACACTTACATTATGTACAAACAAAAGAACTGAAGATACAGTAACGATCTGAGACAGGAAGAAGCCGACAGAAAACACGGTCACTCCTGTCAGGGCCCACCACTTCCTCTGTCCAATAGCTGCAGTCATCGACGAGAAAGGAAGTTGAAACATATAACGAAAAGCCTGCAATTCGTCAAAAATGTACACTTAGAAATGTATGTCAACTGGAAAGAGTAGAAATGGGTCAAATAGACAGGGGAGTTGGTTGGCTACGGGTGGCATATGGGCATATCCCATTTCCAGCCGCTTCTAAAGCTAGGTAATCAGGATTGGTTATACCAGTTATACATACAGATACATACAAATACAGATAGTAATGGTTCAAATCGTCTGCCTTTGTAGTATTACGTACCATCGATACCGTAGAACAAGACGATCGCCAGCCCCACTTGGAACATGGCCATGATGAGAACAGCGGTGGTGACGGCGTGCCCGGGCTCGTACCTGTATGGTTGGTTTAAATTTATTCTGAGTTTATACATAGACTTAGACAACAGGCAACCATTAAGATTGCCTGAAATGCACCGTGAACTGGTCGACATAGATAACTTGCTGGTAAAATCTTCTTACTAAAAAAAGACACATTGCTCATTATAATGTACCTCACAACGATTTGTTTACAATAGACACTCCGTTACTAGGCACTGCAAGATGCAACGTTATTCGGTAACATAACCGTGAAGGATTACCTGTTCAGGAACCCCAGGAAGTAGAAAGACTCCTTCAGCCGGCCGGGTTTCTGCTTCTTCCGCCGCGCGCGGGCTTTGGTCGCCTCCTCGCTGTCCTCCAGCCTCTCGAACCACGGCGGGATCATCTCCAGCCCGGCGACTTCGTGAGGAAAGTGGGACTGGTATCTGGGGAAGGACGGGTGTGTGGCGTATTAAGCTAAGTGGGATAGTAACTTTCAACTCAGACTAGAGGTCCCGGGTTCAGATCCTGCCATTCCACCGATGTTTTGCGCTTGGGGAAGGCAATTAACGCGAGCTTCCTCGCTTCGTTCACTCAAGTGAAAATGAGTACCTGGTTGGTTAGGCCTCGTATCAGCCATGCCAGGATGATCAAAATTATCTTCGGGGCATTAAAAAGGACGGATGAAGTAAGGAGCGAGGAGGGTGGCACTATTTAGGATCATTTAGTTGTTAAAGAAAATTTAAAGAAAAACAGGCAGACAGAAAGATAAAGAAAGAAAGACACAAAGAAATGGAAAGAGGGAGAGAGATACCTTACACAAGCAACAAATTTTAATCTCCGTTCGTGCCATGCAAACATGGCTTACCTTGTGACGATGAGACTTGCAGCGACAACGGTGTACGCTAGGAGCGTTCCTATCGACATGAACTCCACTAGCGACCGCAGGTTGAACAGCATGGTCGTGATGGCGCCCAGAGTACCGAACACAATGGTGGCAAGTACCGGGGTCTGTGTTCTCTCGTTAACCTGTGTAGAATATCCAGACATATTCTTGTTACCTTTAACTGTCAAACAGAAGCAAATTATATCAATCACAAATGTCATGTTCACGACGTTAATCAATACTGTTGGTGACGTGTATCTCAAAGGAATTATGTCCATAAGAAGCGGCTTACCTCATATCTGCCTCTTTTGCAACAGACTGCATCATATGTAAAAGTATCTCAAAGAAAAGCAACTAAAATTCGTTCTTTCTATTCATCTATCTAATATCTATTTATATCTATCCATCCATCCATCTCTCTCTCTCTCTCCCTTTCTCTCCTTTGTGTCCTTACCTTAGCGAATGAGTGGTAGAACAGTCCTTCCTAAGGCCTTACCTTAGCGAATGAGTGGTAGAACAGTCCTTCCTAAGGCCTTACCTTAGCGAATGAGTGGTAGAACAGTCCGTCCGCGGCCATTGCGTACACACACCGTGGCATGGCGAACAGTGACGTCACTAGTGACGCAGACATGGCGCACAGAGCTCCTACAGCGATGATGGTACCGGCCCACCCCCAGCCGCGCATCCTGTAAATGCGAGTAGATAGGGTCTAGCTACAATTGCATGTAAATTATATTATATCTTATGGTATAATCTAAGATATACAGCTATATTTTGTACAGAAACGCTTACTACAGAAAAACAAAAGGCAATTATCAAATTATACGGAGAAATTGCGTTGAAAGACATAATGTATATGCTACAATTTCTGTGATTTCTACAGTAAGTTAAAGATACTTTTGTACTTTTATAACTCAAGATATACAGTCATATTTTATACATTAACAACTGAAATATACAAGGTGATTTTTCAATTATCAAAGTAATCAGGCAAAATTGCAACGGAAGACATAATTATTTGCAAAATACACTGAAATGAACATAGATAACTCTTGAGCTTCTATTACTAGTCTAAGAGCAAATGCTGTCGGCCAGATGATATATCTAGCTTTAGCATTTCAACTGAACTAATATATAGCAATACATCATTGATAATAGAAGGAGGTCGTGGTCTTACTTGAAAGCTGAAGGCAGTGCAGACTTGGGGCTGATGTCGGTCCATGGCACCATCAGTGTCAGAGCCCCGGACACTCCCGTGTACGCAAATATCGCGAGAAACAGCGAGACACAGATGGCTACCGGGATGCCCCGCGCGGGATCCTGCACCTCCTCGGCCACATTTCCCACCACGTCAAACCCAACAAAGGCGAAGAAGCAGGAAGACGCAGCTGTGTTGTAGCAAATGTAACATAAATTAAGACATTGATGTAAGCCTTTGAATACTAGTTGGCCAGGACGTTACGGCCAGCTAATGGTAGGCTAAAGCGGGTGACTTGCAGTATCAATAATTTGCATGTATATCATGATCATCGATGTAAAAATCAGCGATCACCCATGTCGTATGCATATATGAGCGGCTTTTGGAAAATACCTGTCGACTACAGATTTGTTTTTCAGTCCACTGACGCGGATGCTACCTGAATGTATTCAAAAACTATACATTTGCAATGTGTAACTGTCACCTTGGTACCTTCAAGAAGGTTTTATTTCTAAACCCCCTTGGTACCTTAGTCATCGGCACTTAAAACACCATGCTGACTTTTCTTTTTTATGGTGGTTTCATTACTAGTAACCATTTTGTGGTAGCCTATTGAGTATGAACAGGACTTTTATTCGTTATGGGGTTAGGCAGTAGGGTGAGATGGTACGTTTGAGACCCGTTACTGTGGTACTCACCCTGCATGACGCTCTTCCATCCGTTCGGTATGAACCCGCCGTGGTCCATCCAGTTGTGCAGGTCCACCAGGAACAGTCCGGAGCACACGATAAAGGCGACCACCATCATGTTCACCAGAGTCAGGATAGTGTTCAGGTGGGCTGACACCTGGGGAAAAATTTGCACTGATTAATCGTAAGTACCAAAATAATTTCATCAGGTTGGTAGTATAGAACATATTAGGAGTTTCTTATAGCCACAATCCTTAATCTCCAAGGGTGGCAAAAGACAGTATCAAATTGGCCAGGTAGTATCCATTCTCCAGAGAGGGTCCAATACGTCACCCTTTGAAACTATCTTTTGCCACCCTAAGATCTATCTTTTGCCACCCTAAGATCTGCTTGGAGATTATATCATCCGTACCTGCGCCCCTAACCCTATAAACAGCATGACGAGCAGCATGAGCCCGCAGGCGACCAGGTCGGGACTGTCTGCGAACGGCTGGATGTTGCCCATGCTGAGGTGCGAGTTGGTCCAGTTGGAGATCTTGTACCCGGCCAGGTAGTCCACGTACCCGCTCCAGGCACGCGCCACCGCGGCTGCGCCGATGACGTACTCCAGGATCATGTTCCAGGCGATGACGAAAGCCAGCAGCTCGCCCACGGTGACGTAAGTGTACACGTAGGCAGAACCTGGGGGAAAAGAAGTTGTTAGATTGCTAAGTAGCCTAGACCATTCAGACCCTAAGGAGGGTACCTGAAGAGTTACCTAAACTGTTTATACTTTTCCTGTTGAGGATTGAGAACTGACTTGATGAACTTAGTCATGGAATCAAAGCTTGTGAGATTAGACACACAATCAATGGATATTCAGTCGATCCTTATTTACGATTAATCTCCAAGCAGATCATATTGTGGCAAGCAGTATCCATTGGCCAGAGGAGGTCCATATGCATTAGCCACCATTCGATGGACGTGTAAATTCCTCTGGCTAATGGATACTGGCTTGAGCAGACGGCCAAGGATGTGCTTTTTAGATTTTTTTTTTTAGATCTTTGGTGTTCAGTCAATTTCGCCAGTACTGAGACCTGTTTTTGGGATCTCAGAGTGCCACTGAGTTCGTGACACTTATTAAAGAGTAAACGACTTGCCTGCTTTGGGAATCCTGGCCCCGAACTCGGCGTAACACAGTCCGGACAGCAGGGCGACCACCCCGGCCAACAGGAAGGCGGCCACGATGCCCGGCCCGACGATGTCGTGCGCCACGGTCCCCGTCAGCACGTACAGACCCGCGCCAACCTGGCAATGGGAATCGCCATAAACACACGTAATTAACATGGTTATAGGTAGTTAAGTTAAGTAAGACTAACGTGGTAGTTCTTCTGTGTTGCACGTTGGTAGTTAAAACCCCTGTCACACATTCACGACCTCCCCCCGAATTTGTTCCTTAACATGTTAACACCAGCCAACCAGTTTCGGCTGATGTTCAGGACCGCTTTGACCAGATTTAGACCACGCCTGGTACTCTATACGAATCGAAACGAATTTGAATCAACTTTGAGTCAAATTACTCCCGAATGGCTGGTGTTCCCCTGATCTGACTTACAGTCGACTACCAGCCAACCATGGTCCAACCTCCCGACCAACCCACGAATCTTTTAAACATTTCGAAACATTCGGCTGAGGCGCAGCCGAACAGTAGCCGACCTTACCAAACACCAGCCGACCTTGCTCCGACCTACTGATAACCATAGTTGGGGGCGTTCGTTATACTTAATATCAAGTGACAGGTGTAACTACGACCGTCAAACAATCTAATGGTGAACCTCCTCACTTACCATGGAGCCCAGAGACAGCAGCGTGAGTTCCAGGGTAGACAGGCACCGTCTGAGCGGCGTGGAGAGCGCGTCCAGCCCCATGTTCTTGGTCCGGACCAGCTTGGCACACAGCGCGCTGCACAGCAGGCTGGAACCGCGCGAGTCCGAGGACACGGAGTTCACAGACCGCGACGACATGTCGGAAACCGTGTGGGGATTTCTTTTTTCTCTCTCTTTCTCCGAGTGTCTTTCTTAGCGTTTTGTTTCGCTCATTTGCTCCCTGTTGTTCAGCTCTGGATTGCTACCAAGTGTAGACCGTCTGTGAAGAAAAGGAATGAATAAATGAATGAATGAATGAATATATGACATGATGATTTTTTTCTCCCCTCGTGTCTTTCTTTGAGTTTTGCTTCGCTCATTTGCTCTCGGTTGTTCGGCTCTGGACTGACACCAACTGTTGACAGTCTGTGAAGAAAAGGGAATGAATGAATTGATGAACTGTGGGTATAATTGTTTGTTGTTTGTCCCACGGCAGTGACTTCAAATTAAGAAAGAACCTTTAGCAAAGAAATAGAAACAGTACTAGTGTAAACAATATTACATAACTATCGCTGAAAAGCTAACTCCTAAATCTACTGTTTTTACTCCTTGTTTTGAGACAGAGAGAGACGGACGAATGATTCCATGACCACTTTTTCTCTAATGTGTTTGTTTTCGGATGGAAATAATGACATGTATTTATGTTGATTTTGTTTGACATTTATGGAAACCAGGAGGACAGGATATGGGTCATACATAAGTGCAGGACTGCACCAAGGTGGAAAATTTACCGCCAATTTACGGTGCTACCTTCTGAAAGGAAATAATAAATTTAAAGGGAATGTTTGTTTAGACTTTGCCCGTAAAATGCCTCGTGATAGCATCCATAAAAGAAACTGAAGAAGAAAAGAAGAAAAAATGCAGCCAATGTTTTTACGTCCAAGCTCACTATCCGTCCGTGTCATCCCCTGTGTTACTAACCGGTGCATTTTAGCGTATCGTTATTTGTATCCAAGCAGATGTAACGATCCAACGCAGTGCTTGACGCGTGTTTTGGGGGCATTCTGTATGTAGATCAAGTGGCAAGAGTCTTCTCAGTCTAGAAAGACGTACGAAATGCTACAAAAACACGCGTAAGGAACTTAATAGTCGGACCCTACATCTGTTTGGTATTTGAGTGGTTATACGATCTGCACATGTTTTGGTAAGAAGGAATTTCTGACTGTAGAGTGGACCGCCTAAGAATGAACAAGTGAACCGTTTGGGGAGGTATTGAGTTTGTGTCTCTACCGTGTTATGGGGCAGGAGCCCACGTGAAAGTTGGGTAAATGGGCCCCAAAATACCACAGATGACCATCAACAGATCAATATATCCTGGTGGACAGTAATAATGTTATCATAATGATCGCTGATGGTGATGGTAATTAATGGATAGTGATAATGGTCACATATGCAATGGAATCCATCTTGCCTAATATTGCAAAGCGATTTTTTGTTACCCAATTACCCCCCCCCCCCACCTAGTCTGGGAGCCATCAGTTTGGTACATACGTTTTTCGGGTTAGCAGTGCAAGGAGCCACGTTACAAAACGGATGGCACGTGCGCCCTGGCTATTACCACAACCCCTAACTGCGCGGGCAAATTAACTCGACCTCCCCTGGCACATCCCTATTTGGTTAAATTTTGGTTATTTTTCAGCCAACGTTTTACGTCTTATATAGGTGGAGACTAGGTATGTCTTATATAGGCGGAGACTAGGCTACATGTACCTGAGCAGTCTTTGTTGCATGCCCTTTTAGTTTTACAGCCAAGCCAATGAATGAACATAAACAACGCCCTAAATCAAACCACACAAGTGTCAACCTTGCTTCAACTTGATTTACGTATACTAATATGCCACTTCTGATGTTGATTCCTTCCACACAGTTTCTACTCAACCCGTCACGGTTTCCTAGAAGTCGGGCTTCTGATATTTACACGCCTTTGTCGAACAATTTGCCTACCTGGATTCCATTATCTACAGACATACTGGTACGTGTGTTTACTTAACAGTTGCTGGTCACGAAGCTTAGAGCTCAACCTTGACAAAAATGCATGGCAGAAAAATGCATGCCAGAACTATAACCAACCAACCAAGCGTATGCATGGACTTGTTGAGAACCACTCGTAGTTATGGCTGACGAATATAAAAAGATATTTCACAAAATCCTGTCATTTATGACTTAAATACTGTCCAAGACTCTATAAGTAGACAGCTTGTCGTCAACGGATGTCAGCAAACTGTGTCTGAATACGTGTTAAGAAGACTCCTACCTTGAGTTCGTATTGTCAGGTGTCCCCGTATTGAAGAAAGTTGGTTCCGGACGCTTTTTACAGGTAATAATTCCCCAGATGTTCTTGTTTGGTGGATTATTTATCAGATATCAGTGGTGGGAGGGATAGGGAATGTCGGAAGCGACTTTTCCACAGACCGGACGTTCTGGTTCTTCCGCCTGATTTGCATACAGCCGAAGGTGTCTGTAGGTAGCCCCGGGTTAAAACACGTGGTTAAAAAGGGACAGAGACTGCTCGCTCTAATTGTACACAAAGGGGCTGTGCCATTCTTAAAGGTTATGTGGGGGTGATCGGGTCTTTTTATTATCCTCGCCAAGTTTTGCCATTGTCTGTTATGCTTTTACCTGCATACACACATATACTAGTACGTGAACTGGCCCTTTGGAATGGAATTTTATTTCGTATCTCATCTCTTCTTGGCTGGCTCTAATCCCTGATAAGAATGAATTCCTTGATTCTGAGACTACACAATTCGTATTTCTAACAGTTTCTAAGCTTCAAGATTTTGAGCAGAGATGGTATTAGTCTTGGTGAGTAAACTGTAAAATTGAGTTTGAACCAGGGCCAACCTTGATATGATTTTTATGAATGTGAAACCCGTGACCAGCTGTGACCGCCATCTAGCGATTTGGGTGAAATTGCAGGAAAGTTGGATCGTATTTGGCTGTGGTCGCGATCGTTTAAAAACAGATTTGAAGTTTGAACACATTCATAATTGGAAGCGATCTTCATAGCATAACACAATTGGATTAAATTTGAACAGGATGCAATATAACAAGGATATGATTGACCCCAGTACACTTAGTGAAGATAGTCGGGTTAAGTCAATGACCCAGTGTGTTTAGCTATAAACACGAATCAAAGCGAAGCCGCACTTCATTACACATGTGTTACTACTAGCTATGGAATAAGCATTTTGCATCGCCTAAAGCATTGTTCTAATGGAGCCCGACCCGCTTTTCTTACTATGATGTATGAAACAGCACGATATCCTCTATAAATAACATTCTCTCGTTAGCGTACAGATATCTACTTGACACAGTATAATCGTAGCGTACTTTCGGGTTGGATTACTACTATTCAACGTCTTACCATTACCTAATGTTTATTCAAAAGGTAATGTAATATGTAGGCCACCTTGTCATACTCTGAGTACACAACTCTTAACAAAGGATGGAGCAAGGTCAGGGCGTATTCTGTTCCTGTTGCCTTGGTAACGAGATGCAACAATTGGGCTAGAACGCCGAGGGGAGGGATTAGTGAGGGTTCGGAATTGAGCTCTTCAACATTCAGGGAACTTGTTGTCAGCCTGGTGGCGGCAAAACTCAGTTTGTCAAGTGTTATAAAATTACCTGCAGGTCTGTGGTAAGCTTTGCCGGAGGTTACACCGCATCGTGTCGCCAGGTGTCGCTGTGATGTGAAGTGGTCCAGACAGTGTATTGCCCGGCCGGTACTGGACCATTCTACTTTACTACGTAACTCGGACCAAGTTCAAGGGTGAAGTACCAGTCCTTCACGATCTGCATGACAACCAACAGCAGCGCATCAAACTACATCATCCATGTACGTAGGTGTGTCTCTGACTTATAGCTTTGCAACAACATGATGATGCACAACATCTTTCTGTGGGACAACCTATAACGGTACATTGCACCACTCTAGCCCCGTAGGCGTGCCTAAACTTGAACAACATTGCAAGAACTAGAGGTCTAGCGGTTCTTCAACGACTAGACAACAGTTTCTGGGGATAACCTATACCAGCGCGGAGCACTGTCTGAGCTCCGTAGGCGTGCCTCTGACTTAAATTTGTTGTTACAAGAACAACTGTAGTGGCTGCTCCACGACTTGAAGAAGATGCACGCCGACTTACTGCAGATCTTGAGACTCCACCGTCTGGACTTGGTAGTGAACTTGAGCTACAACATCGACACCGTGGTCGACTATCTCTGCAGAGGAGACGTCATCATAAGGGACGAGAAGGACACTATCATCTCTCATGACAGGTGAAATGATGATGACTTTATTGTAGAACAATTGTACGGGGTACAAAGTATAGTATCTACGTATACTGGTCGTGATACATTCATGTAACTACAATTTTATAAGGCTAACGTACCTAATACAAGTGTGTGTGGCTTGTATAGGATGGGAATGAGCTTGGACGTCGGCTACAATCTTGAGCCATTATTTTTTGCGTGTAAAACCCTATAATTAAATCTCCAACTAAATGATGGAAGGCAAAATCTGACGTTACGTTTCCCTTCTTATGAGTCAGGGCTACAAAAGCGTAATGATTTGGTCCCGCATATCTGATTGGAGATAAGTGAAACATCACAATTTCTCTGAACTCTGTAAGCAATGAATAAGAAGACTTAAAAGATTTTTGTATAGAAATGGTGTAGTGATAGCAAATTTCACGTAACGTGTGTCAACAATAGCTATATAATTAGGACATACTGTGCTTTGTGTTGCGGTAAGCTATACCTGCCTCTTTACATCTATCTGTTGTGTAAATATGCAAATGAAAATTGTCAAAATATCTCCTGACAGGCAGGAAGACAGGGTCACGTGTCTGCTGGACATCTTGGAGACTAAGGACGACGACGCCTTCTATGGTTTTCGTGACACGCTGTTAAAAACAGGCCCGCCACATCTTCCCATACTACTGGACGCTAAAACGGACGTGTTGGGGGGTCAGCTCCAACAAACTACGGATTGAAAGTGGAGACGCATAACTGGCCTCTACCGACTAGGCTTTGGCTGGAAAGAAAATGGCCAAATAGACAGGTGACATGCCAGGGGAGTTGGTCCGCTAGAGAGTATACTTTGCTGCACACAATAAGCAAACTCCCCCTTAAACAAGGATTTTGTCAACATATTTTTTGTAGGGAAATTTTGAAAGATATCACCTCAATATCAGTTTTATGTGTGTAAACAATGACGAGACACACTTAGAACTTCTTTTTAGAACGGAGACCACTGCGAATTAGCAAAATTGGTGATGTTATCTATTGGACCTATCTTCTTTAATACGACTCAAACATAATTGCACGAGACAAAATGAGCCGAATGGATCATTTTTATTAGCGTTTCTTGTACCTTACAATACCTGGCCTTTTTTGGAATGGCATAACACCAAGCCTTTTAAGGACGAAAATCTAAGCCTGAAATATAATGTTTAGTCAGCTGATGTAATCACACATATAACGTATATACTATTAGCTTTTTATGTATGCACAAACGTCAAATAATCATATAGACATATTTTAAGCTGCGTATAACCTCAGTGGGTGAGAGTACGTTCTAGAGTAACAGGAAGAATTTAAACTTGTACAGACGACTTACAAATGCCAAAGCATAAAAGCTTTCAGACTAAAGGTTCAGATATATAATTCAGATGGTAGTATTGAATGCATTTAGTTTGTCTGCAATATTTAATGATTGCATGTAATAATCAATCAAGGAGGCTTCCTTGAATGAGCTATACATTAAACTTAGAAGCTGAGTATCTTTTTTCCGAAATGCTGCTAGTTCAGGTAATATAAAACTATTCAAGTATCACACACCAGCAGAGACACTTTAGAACTCTGTAATGAACCAAATCTCACTGAATTTCTCACTTACTTTTACAACAATTCGTAGTTCATAAAACATGTTAGCAGCTAGTGCAAAAGTCTGCCCTATCTTCCAGTTCAATGAACACCTAAAACTACAATTTATTGCAGCCTACTCTAACCAGGAAATGCTTATACCCCTAAATATACTTAATAGCAAACGCAGCAATGATGGCGCATTAAGTTGTTATTTGTGTACAACAATTAAAAAAAATAATAAAAAAGGGATGGCCAATAGTAGCAGTAGTGAAGCTTGTGGTTGGCGCCTCCGCCGCTGTCGTAAGGGTGCGCTCCTCCCACTCGGTCAGTATTATCGTCATCCTCATCATCCCAACGGAAATACTCATCCCAGACATTCATCTTGTCGACCTGCAAACAATATGTCGTTGTTATTTTTCCATTATTTCACATTTGCCACTGTTTATTTGCACTGCACTTTCATAGACAAAATGGTGAAGAAAGGAACAGGAACAAAGAATCATAAGAGAAAGAAGACTGAGATGAAAAGAGAGCAATTAGAAAGACATTCGGTCGGAAGCCACATGCACAAGGAGACAGAGGAACACCAAATATATTTCCTTGGATTGATACTCACATTTTGACATCTGCTTCCGTACCGAAAGAGGTAGAAGGGCCTGGCAGCCGGTAGGGAGATGTAGTTATAGGTACTCCCGTCGTTACGACAGCAGTACTGGATCAGGGTGTCGAGATCGTATTGCCCGTCTGGCCGTTCGCCACCCGCCCTGTTCGCATTGCGGGAGTCTTCATCGTCCCAGAACACTTCTCCACTTTGGAAACCTGGAGACACAAGATCAGTATCCTGTAAGACTATACACATTACTTCTCAACAGGAGAGTTTGACATTTGTATGTACGTAGCGGGCATGCTTTGTAAGGATTTAGATACATGGTTGTGTAACCTATGGTTTAGTATAGATACAAGGTTTAGAAAACTACTTTGCATTGATTCACAAACCATATTTTAGAATTCTTAATAAAACGTTACATGATCAAATCCACTCGTTGACTGTCGCAAGAACATTTGCTAGTTACACAAATTCAGAGTCTTGCCGGAAGTTTAAACCTCCTTAGATACATACACCATTTTATCACTATTCATTCTGACACAAGACACACCAATTGTACATACCACTCGGGCATCCACCCTTCTTGAAGATGCAGTAGTTCCCAGCTGGCCAAGTGCCCGACCCTTCCCAATAAGACGTCTGGATCGGGGAAAGAAATACTATTTTGTTGTTCTCGACATTATTCAGTGGAACTTCATTAGACAGTGAATGAAGGCAGAATTACAATTTCCCTGTCAATAAACAGGAAAGCCAAATGTTAAAAAGTCAAATCAGCTTTCGCTTTTAGACCACGATCAATGTAATATTTACAGAATGCCATAAGAGATTTACTTACCTTCATGCAAAACTTTTGGTACATGTTGTTTCTCCAGTAACCGCTGGGGAAATGCAGTCCGGACGACCAATGGTTGTTGGAGTCGTCATCCTCCGTATCGTGATAACGCCAACCCAGGCGCCAGGTCACGCCTGCGGCTTCAGGGCAGCCGGTGTTGGTCTGGGGCAATCCATACGTGCCCACTGGCCACTCTGTATGGCATTATTTTCGTGTCAGTATTAGGTGCACATTGCATATATAACACACATGTGCCGCATTGGCATACAGAATTTGATAGCTATGTAATATATAGCACAGCAAAAATGAACGTGTTGGTGGTTGGACTTTTCTGCAGATCAGGTTGGTCCCAGACCAGACCCCAGACCAGCAGGTCCTTGCACTATTGCCGTTGACCTGCCTGTATCCAGTACGGCAGGAGTAGTAGCAAGTTTCCCCGTTTGTGTAGGGGTAGGAACAGCCGCTCCTGGTGGTGTAGGCTGGGACTGGTGCCGAATAACAGGCTGTTGCAAGTAGAAAACAACGTACGAAAGACTTGAGTTCCAGTCTCAATCCGGATATAAAGGAATTCAATCTTAGTTTATTTATCTTCAACTAAAAGCCATGTAACCATTACAACTGTTTTCTTTCATGGTCCCTAATATTGAACGTGTCACAGGACGTAAGATAAAACACAATTTCTTCCACTAGATTCAATATGTCACTCAAAAGTTTAGCATTACCTAGTCGAGAAACAGTTATATCATATCATAGCCCGTACCCGAAGGAATTCGACGACGAAACCGCCGCTGCCGCAACAACCATGCTTCTGACTCCTGGACAAGCGTAGATATCAGAAGGAGCACAAATACACGAAGTAGGAACCTGATAATGAAGAAATATATTTCAAAACAAGTAACAAAATGAAAGAAAGAAAACAATTAGAAAGAAATACTATACAATATAGGACGTCACACAATATTGCACAATCAAGGTCACAGTAAAAGATAATCAAATAAGAGTGCTAACATAGCACAAATATGTAAACGAAGTCATAAAGGTTGCAGCAAAATTCATTCTAAGACTAGTAAGAGGGTGTCAAATTGTACATTGTACACTGTGGTGATTGTGGTGGGCTTTGTTTGGTAGCCTGGAAATGACTTTAATTTGCCGTCGATCTGCTGGCTCAAATCCAACACAATGTCAGTGAAAAACCAATGTGAACCATCAGCATAAGACAATTTATTGAGGAAACGACGTTCGGAAAAATTCTACTATGAGCGACCTAAATTTATTTCGTTGATAATGCCATGGTTAAAACAGTTCAAACTAGAGTTCCCCGATCTCATACCTTCGCCAAATGATGTTAAACTTTATGACTGACAAATTATAGATTAGATTATTCCCCCCTGATTCAAGAAATAGGAACCTAATTTTCATGAATTATATCATTTTATCATAATCTCAACCAAAAGACAGTCTTATATTAACAAACAATGCATTCTAGCATTTCCTAATAAATTATGCAAATGAGGTCCTGATTTGAATAAATTATGTTTAATGATGTTCACGTCAACTAAACTTTCAAATACCACAAGTATGAAATTCCAGGCAGTTATCATTACATAATTATAAAATTTTCTCATTAATTATGCAAATTAAGTCATTATTAACATAATTAATATCTTCCTGTGTTTCTCTCAATGTCAATTACCAATGTCACAAGCTTCAATTGTCCTATCATGGAATGCAGCTGATTTATAGAATTTCCCCATAAATTATGCAAATTACATCCATATTTGCATAATTGTCACATAATTATATTAAACATCGCGTAAGCTACCTACATACCAAAAATCATGACGATCCGTCAATTGGTTCTTGAGTTATCCCCTTTTGAATATTTTCAAGAATATATCCCTGCAGTTCTAGAGCAAGCCGCTAGGGGGCCCAAACTCACGTCACTTCTTCCCCAGCACAAGAGGTACCTACCATCCAAATTTCGTCACTCTAGCATGTCTAGATCATGAGATATCAAAACCGGAAGTTCAGCTGCAGTACCATAACAAGCCGCTAGGGGGTCCAAAATCTAATCATTTTGAGGTCTCATCAAGACCTACCCACCTACCAAGTATCAAGACAATCCATCAAGGCCTTCTCAAGTTATCGTGTTTACAGACAGACAGACAGACAGACACACACACACACACACACATACACGAACGCCCCTGAAAACATAACCTTCTTGGCGAAGGTAACAAGATCCTAGCTGTTTCTTTGCTCAGGTCATGCCCTTAATAATTGTTATGCGCAATCAGGACTATCACATGCATGCGTCGACGGTGCCCGGCTACGCTATGGAAGTTTGGTGAGTGGGGTACGGACTCCCTTAAATGGGATAGTTGGTGTTTTGAACACTCATCTATGATAAATAAAAAAAAAAAAACATCGTCCGCACGTCAAGGGTTCAGAAACAGTGACAGGTACAACGAAAAGCATGCTCCGTGACGAGAGGAGAAATAACCATTTCTGTTTAGTGATGGTGAAATCACGAACATGTTTAGAACATTTCGATACAGACTGGTGATAGAGTAAGACCTACTTCATGTTGAACTTGTCCCGCTGGATGTACTGTGCGCGCCCAGTGGTATTGACGGAGTGATACCGACACTTTCCCCGCCTGACAATTCAGGAGCGCCCCGTTCAGAATGAGAGCTTGGGCGACGGGCTACGGTCTTCAGAAGACTCGGACAACTTTTAAAAGGGGCGTGTTTTCAGTGAAACAGGGAGTGTGAGTCATGCAGACATAAATATCAGCCTATCAGGGAAGTCCATGTAAATAGTGTCATTGTGAATGATAAAGCGAAGGTGGGGCTTAAGTCTCTTCATTTGTGAAGACAGACAGTTGACAAAATTGCAATCTTCCACCCCAAATTCTGCACTGTGATTACAATTATCTTTTACATCGTTTCCTTTTTACAAAGACGAAAACATCGCGCATGACCACCTATGACCTGAGTAATGAAGCCTGAAAGGTGACTCCAGGACAGCCCGATCTCAGACAAAAGACAATTCAGGATGAATATCAGTAACGCTTGGGCGACAAGGGAAAGTAGCCTCCAGTGCAGGCTTTGTGTGGCGTTGGTACATTTTCTGTTTTTACTGCTTTATCGCTGTTTTCTGAAAAGTTTTCTTAAAAGTTAAAATCAGAGTCAGGAGGCTTCTAGATCAAGTTACAATTTTTTGACCCAAAATTCATATTATTTTCTGAGAAATTATGGGTCCGACTTGTCCTGGGCTTGGTGCCGAGTTGTCCTGAAAGGCCAGGGGCCGAGTTGTCTTGGAATCCCTTAAACGTCGACCGGGGGCCTCTGTCAAGGCTAGAGGAAATGGTCGATTGCAAACAAAGCTTGACTAAATTTAAGATGAGTAGGTGAGCTTGTCTTTTCTGATCCACAGAAACATCTCTTACAACCTTTGATCAAAATTTCATGATAAAAATGTGCACTACAGGAACATAATGTGCGAGCCACATGTTTTTGTGTTAACCTGCAATTTTTTGGTACTAAAAACATCGAGGAAACGACCTGCAGAAAAAGTCAATTCACAAATAGCGATTGTTCAACTTTTCTTCATTACTGCAGTCGTGATGGAAAACGATTAAACGTTTTATACCTTGGCGTTTTAAACACTCATCTATGACAAAACACAACCGAACAGTCTTTGCCAACAAGTAGGCACAACTGAGGCGTCAATGGTACAGAAACAGTGGCAGGTACAACAAACTTCGGCTGCTCCCTGACGACAGTGGAAATCACCATTTCTGTTTACTATAAATGGTGAAATCACAAACATGTTTAGAACATGTCGATACAGAGTAGACTAGTGATATATATAGAGTAAGACCTACTTCATGTTGAACTTGTCCCGCTGGATGTACTGTGCGCGCCCAGTGGTATTGTCGGAGTGATACCGACACTTTCCCCGCATGACAAGTCAGGAGCGCCCAGTCCAGAATGAGAGCTCGGGCGACGGGCTATGATTTTTTTATCTTCGGAAGACTTGAACAGTTTTCAAAAGGGGCGTGTTTTCAAAGAAACAGGCAGACTGCGTCATACAGACAGAAATATCAGCCTATCAGAGAAGTCCCTGTAGATAGTGTCATTGTGAATGATTATGGGTAGGCGGGGCTTGTCTCTTCATTTGTGAAGACAGACAGAAGACATTGAATCGTCCCATTGTCTTTCTCCGATATGCAAATGAGTTCTGTGATATCTTGAAAGTTTCCAGCTCATAATGACGATGATATACACTCGGCAATGATGTTAATTCGTCGCTGATTTGCTGGCTTAAAGCCAGAACAATGTCAGTGACAAACCACTGTGAACCATCAGCCCAAGGCAATTTATGACGTACGGAAAAATATCACAAAGAGCGATTGTCCCACCCTTTTATTAAGAACACGACCTACGAAATAACAATGAACCAGCGTCCCACCTTGTTTTCGAGGAAACGATCTTCGGAAAAAACATGAGCTTCATAAAATGTTCAGCTCATGGATGTTGCAAAGTTCTACCTCATGTTAGCGGTAATATTTTAGATTGGTTGTACATTTACGTTTAAAGTTCTGCCGATTATGCTGCTGTTTTAAGAGGGTGACAAGACTTGATATAGCCGATTTATCTTGTTAATTATGATGTTAACTTAACATAAAGATCTTTAATTTCCAAACAAATATTTGTATGAAACATAATATATAACATTTTCTGGTGGCCTGGAATCTCTGGTATTCACTCTGCAGCTGACGAACCGTCAGAACTTCGGAGCAAAGTAAGAAGTGAGACAAAATTGCAATCTTACACCCCAAAATCTGCACGGTGATTACAATTATCTTTTACATCGTTTCCTTTTTACAAAGACGAAAACATCGCGCATGGCCACCTATGACCTGAGTAATGAAGCCTGAAAAGTGACTCCAGGACAGCCCGATCTCAGACAAAAGACAATTCAGGATGAATATCAGTAACGCTTGGGCGACAAGGGAAAGTAGCCTCCAATGCAGGCTTTGTGTGGCGTTGGTACATTTTCTGTTTTTACTGCTTTACCGCTATTTTCTTAAAACAGCATGGCCGGCCTGCTTGGTTTCTGGCTGTCAACAAATCACAAAAAAAACTGACTTCGTTTAGAACCAGGGAAAAACCTGGTTCCCTAAAACGTCGATTGGAGGCCTTTGTCAAGGCTAGAGGAAACGATCGACAGCAAAAATAAGTTTGACGAGATCTACATTGACTATTCAAGATCGTCTTCTCTGATGCACAAAAAACATCAATCTGACAACTGTTGATCAAAATCGCAAAATATAAGCATGCAGCATAGAACAAATGTGCGAGACACATACATGTACATTTGTTTTGTGCATTGCCTGTGTTTGTTGGCTTTGTCTGACAGTTTGGTCATGATGTTGCTGGTTCTAAGCCAAAACAGTGTCTGTAAGCCAATCACCGTGAACTATCAGCCGCAGGCTACAGACAAGCTATCATTAAGCTGTCATCACCTTTGGCTTTCACAAAGGTACTTTGGGCGTTTTCGACGACAAGGAAACGACCTACGGAATAGTACAATTGGCGATTGTTAAACGTTTCTTTACTACAGTAGTAAAGATGAAGCAATTCCAATTTCCTTCATGATGATGGTAACAGTTTTAGCAATGATGCAAGAGCTATACATCACTCAAAGGTCATGACCACAACATATGTCCAGATCACGACATACAAAAATCAGAAATCCAGATTGCAAAATCTAAAAAAGCTACCAGCAGCCACGTAATCTAGATTACATTAACAAGTCCTATTTGGGTATGAACCAAGAAAGTTACTCCATTTATCAAACCAGTCTACACGTTGCAGGGTGACATTTTTACATCATTTTGTGGTCTGGGTATATGACAGGGTGAACAGTTGAGTAACTTAAGGTCAAAGCTGTCAAAGGCCAGATATCATGGCCGCCTATATTCTAGTCACCACATATATATGTACAAGAAGTGCTTTGTACAGTAAGTTGTGCTGAAATCTTAAAATTGGCTGTTTTGATCCATATTTGTCACATTTGTAATTTATCACATAAACGTTACCATTCATGGATTATATTTATTCTCAATAATGATGACAACAAATAATATATAAATAAAGAATTATCAAGGGAGACCACAAATTGGCACAAAACTCATCAGTCTGTAATTATTCTTTCCAGGTTAAGATATAACTTATCCTTTAAAAACCAAACTGCTTCCAAAAAAATATATTACATTGTGGTTTTAACTCCTAAAACTTCATTGGCAACTTGCAGACAAACATATAATATAAACACTTCACACTTTGACAGGATTCTTTATGATACCATGTACTATGTATACTTATAACTTAAAACTATTGCATAGAACAACATCACTGATGAATTGGGAAGGCTTACAAAGCCTAAGATATAGTCAGGCCCCTAGAAGCTTCATGGCCAACACCTATATGTCAGGAGAATTCTGACCATCTTAATCCTGTTAATTTCTGCATGCACGGTATCATGGTTCTCTCTACTTACTAAGTAGAAGAGTATGAATTTTCGAGGCAGAGGCCGAATCAGTCAATGCAATGACTGTATCAGGCATTGTGTAACACACTAATCCCAACCCTATGTCAGAACGTACAGATGTTGGAATATACGAGTGTCAGAACATAGGGCTGTCTGTATCTATATATATATAGCCGGTATAACTGCCCTTCGGCGTAACACACCAGCTTCGCAGGCACACAGTGCGGCGGCAGCTGGCTACATTACACCAAACGACTTGTTACACCTAAACCTTGAACATCTAACTCTAAACATTGTTTAAAGCTATCTAATGATATCTGTCCCGTATCTATACATGACTTATTTAGAAGACTAGGCCACACGATATCATAGAGTGGTCAGAAGGCCAAAATGGCTGAGGACTGCCAAAGATGGATAAATCTAGTGAACTGTCTGACTGCCCATAAGGCTGGCGTGCTACTGGACTGAGTGAAGTGAAGGCCACACCAGATTGTCTATTTAAGCAAACAGGCCTTCATCGACTATCCTGAGTGTCTGTAGAACTGCCTTGAACTGGTCCAGAGTCCAGTCACTGTCCACTCCAGACTGCTGCTGGGCACTACTGCTCAATGGGCTGGACAAACAACAGCAAACATTATTAGGGTTATAATATACATGTTGTGTCTACTTAGACTGTTAGAGAGGATCCATTCCTCAGCAATGGCTATACTACTATATACATTTGTATTTTGATTTTTAGGTTCAGAAGAGGATTGATTGATTGGTTGATTGATTGACTGATTGATCGATTGATTGATTGATTGATTGATTGATTGATTGATTGATTGATTGATTGAGTGAGTGAGTGAGTAAGTGAGTGTGTGTGTAAATACACATAAAAACAGTTACTCAAGCAACTGGATATGAATTTGCTTGAGGAACCTTCACTTATGTCTAAAATACATTTGCTTCTTTTTTTCTGATTTGCCAAACAAAAAACTTTACATATACTATATATAGCTATTCAGGTTCTGAATTAACACCAAAATACTCCTATTTTGATGACAAGAGATGAAGAAATTCGTTGTCGCCCAAGTTGTTACAGTCTTCCCATTCATCTAACAGTGATGTTTAGTCATTGTATCATGTCCCTCAACTCACCTAATTTGTGTAGGGTCATTAAAGGTGACCAGTATGTCAGTGCCATGCTGGGGTAGTCTGAACAGGGCAAGATAGATATTCACACAGTTCCTGGCTTCCACCTGAGAAATGTTAGTGAAAAAAATCAAATCAATGTTTAAAGATTTTTTCCAACACATTGCTGTTAAATATTTACAATGTAAACTTCCTCTTGTTGTATCCAAGGTACTAAAGTAAATGTTTACTAAAAGTACTGCAATTTTTGGGTCACTTTGACATACAAGTTGCTTTCCCTGTCCTTGGTGCTAATTAACTCTGTCTGATCAAGCTATCCCTTTCCTTGGTGCTGAAAAAACTATAGTGCATTAATGGACTTCTGCTTGGATTTTGTTGTTGCTGAGCTAACAAGATGGCCAATTTCGCTCTATACAAAAGCATAGTAAAGCTCACTTGTCACTGGAAAAGAAACCAACATTGAACTATCACCAAGTATAGTAAACGCAGTTGACTCACTCCTTCATTGAACTTTGCCACCTGTTGTTTTCCTGATAGCAGCCAGGCCGTGCTGCATCTGGGCAGAGAAATAACATTGTCATTCAATAAGCACAAAATAATCACACATTGAAAGGCACTGTGTTTTCTCTGATAAGTGAATGTTTTGAGTACATCTTCAGCACACAGAAGAACATAGCATACTTATATGTAACAGTAGGGGTCAATCCTATCAGTCAAATCTTATATCTTGTACTAACCACACTTGCAAAACTGGTGGGTTACACATTACTGACAGACTGTTTATCAGTTATGTGTGATACAAAACTTAACAGCAATACAAACAAACAAACAAACAAACAAACAAACAAACACTCACTGATGCATGCCTGTCTGGTCCAGAGGGATCTGTTCTACACACTCTACCTGGCAGTGGTCTGGTCCAACAGCCTCATTACTGGAAGCAATGTCTTCAAAATGGTACCTACAGGGAAAGATGGGATAACTATTTAAATGTCAGTTGTCTATAAAGCTACTTAGTACAATTTTCTTTTTTCTTTTTAGTTTGTTTAGCAAACATTGCCTTAGAGAGCTGAAAGGGAATTTGTGAATGCAGGTCCACTTACTAGTACAGAAGATGAATTGACGTCCTGTTTAGTTTGTCAACTATTAGCTGTTATAATGGTTTTAAGAATTAACATTTGAAAAAAATGCTTATGACCATGAGAAATTTATTAAGGTGGAAAATATTTCATAGCTCAGATGTTCAAAATCATTGTAAATGTCATATTTTGGATATCAACTCTTTTAAGTTAAGAACTTTTCTCAATAGTTTTTATATTCAGGATAACACTGTGTAACCAGAACTGTATCCTTACTTTGCAGCCTGTTGATCTGGGACTTGCTGGAACTCTACAATCTCGATGATGAAGCTCTGGTCTGTGCAGGCGTGGCTGAAAACCTCCTGGTTGTCTGGGATGTCCCGTAGTAAGCTAACAGTGCAAATCAGTATCATGTTAAAACCATGATCATTTACATGCGGAAGGGGGCATCCAGGTAGAACATTACATGATGTAAAACAAATCAATTGGATAAATTCCCTAAAGACGTTTCAGAGATGTCTCCACTACTAGTGCTAGTATCCTTCAGCAGACTCACATACAGTTGTCTTTAGAGTCAAATAAGATTCCTCAGAGGCTGATGCATAATTTCAGACAATTATTGACATAAAAAGTTCTCCGGGGCTAGTGCTACACATGATCTTAGCTGTTGTTACGGTGTCTCTATAGATGATTACTGGCTTTCCTTTTCCACAAGCCCACATACTAGTATGGAACGGATTCAAAAACTCCCCTCCCCCTTCAACGATACGCACCTAACATCTTTCGCGTCCGGCGGCAGAAACGCGCACATCGCTCCGCCGTACAAGCCCTTCTCTTCCCCCTGCCCTTCTCCGCTCATAGCTGTATCTCACCGGTCACAGAACAAAACGATCGTCCAGCGATTAAATGCGTTTTTACAGACAAATTCAGGCTTACGTACACCGGTAGCGAAGAAAGTTTTCAAATTGTTGAAAGTTCAGAGGTCAACAGAATAGTCCACTCGTAAAATAGGGGAGTTCATTTCAAAATGTCTTTGGGCAACTACACAACTCTACAATAATTTTTATAGAGATAAAATCATATACGTATTGAAATAATTTGCATAATATGATGTTAGACGTATACATTTATGGCTTATTTTGACAGCAATTATTTTAAATATCTCCCCTATAAATGTAAATGCACTAGTCTAAAGATGGCAGGGAAAGATGAATAATATGGCCTAATATGTTGATGATACACGTATTTCAACGTGACACAAGATGATAAAGATTGAAAAATACACTTTAAATTTTTCTAAATTTTTGTCGTATTCAAGTGAATTCTACTCACATATTTTATGAACTGCATTATTTTGTTGATTACAAAGCAACATTTCATCGCCCTCATTCTCACCTTTCTTCCAAACGTCATCTCTATTTTTAGCCCCAAACAACTCGGACTGCGTAGGAACAAGTCGCTTGCCGTTGTTGGGCCGTTTTCTTGGGCCCCTTTGGGGCACCAAAGCCTCATTCTATCATTTTTGACGTCAAACGCGCTAAACTAAGAAGCCAAAGTGCCGGTCCCCGAGGTTACGAGCTTCCTTGCGGGGAAGCTCGGGCCAGTTTTGTGGGCCCAGCCTGGGATGGCCAAGGAGAGGCTGATGGGCGTGAAGAACCTGGTAGAACGGGCCGTACAGGTAAATATACCTGTCCAGTAACTCAGCCTGTATGTTTGGCTTTGGATTTATTGTGAAGAAATGCAGAAAGAAATGTAGCAGCTGTAAGTTATTTTGGAATTCTTTATTTTAAATGACAACTTTTGTCGAAACTATTTTCATGTCGTTCAAACTTGACCCAGTCATGTAAGATTTCAGCATACTACTATACTAACGTGTTAGTAATATTTGTGCTTGTCTGAGTTACAATTTTACTGTCATCAATGCCTAAAAGTAATGGTGAAAGGGGATTCTGACCTCTCCCCTCATACCTACTCACCCACCCTAGTTCAGTGAAAATCATTTTGCTCTTATTGACCAGCCTAACTACATAATTTAGTACACAACACACAGGAAACATAGATGTTATGATCATTTTTGTGTCAATATTTTTATTTGTTATTTTGCAAGTGATTTAAGCCATGTAATGTGAACATAACTCCAACTCTCCATCCCTCTGTCCCATCCTAGCTGGCCCGTGGAGTGGCCCAGGGCTCTCGGCAGACCCTCCACACCATCCGACACAGGGTCGAACAGAAGGCAGGGCTACACCAGGTACCAGGCAGACATCCACAGGCTGTCACTACTGTCACTACAACACAGCAACAAGCACCATCATTCTTTACCAGGTATGCAAGTTCTAGTCTCCACCATACTCCTTTACAGGCTGATTAAATAGTAGAAATTGGCCTAAAAAGAACGTAGCTGGCCAGGGGAGTTCGCTGGCCATAAATGGTCCAGTTTACTAAAATGTACGTACTAGTAACATTAACACCTTCAGAGACAAAGTTGGGTGGGGGTTGGTTGATTGTGGCCCCAGGCTAGGGCCGGCAGAGGTTCTAGCATGGCTCGGAATGACTCACCTGTGGTCAATCTGTAAGTACCCAACCAAGCAGGGCATTCCATTGGGGGATTGTAGGGGGAAAAATTATATATTGGTGTCTGTGCAGTCAGTTCAAGTCAGTGTTTCTTTTTCTTCTTTTTTTACCCAGAGTCCTGCTGCCGAAGCAAATCAACAGTCTTGCTGCCACCCTGCGTAGAAGCGCCGCCTTGCGCCTGCTGGCATATCGCAGCCCGTCTCACAACCAGATCCCCATCTTTGCCTTTGTGGGCCTGGCCTACGCCAGCGCCGTGTCAAACAGTGACAAAGAGGCTGAAGAACACTGTGATTCACTCTGTAAGGACATCAGGGTAGGTCATGACTTCATGTTGGTTGTTGTCAGTCATTCCAAAACTGTTCACAAGAACCAAATTTGGGAAGAGCTAAAGAACAATAAGCACCTGTCTTTGTAGCTAAGTAAGAAAATAGGAGATCATTGTATCACTTGCTTATGTTATGGTCAATCCTTGATTGGAATAATTTCTTGCAAAGTGTGTTACTTAATAGAAGGACAGTAACTTAGTCTAAATTAGAAGTAAGCACTTGTTTCTTCACCTGCACTGTCATGCAAGCCATCTTCTATCCTTTCATACCTAAACTAAGAAGGCATCCCTTCCCTGTTGAAGGCTGGTATAACTTGATAATAAAATACACTTATTTTCATACTTGTATTGTTAGGCCATCTTCCATCCCTTCATGCCCAAACTGCGAGGCTCCCTGTCCCTGCTGAAGCCAGGTAAAGAGTACCAGCTGGATGACTTTGCACTGGGAGAGTGTGTGGGACAGGGCTGTAACGCTGTGGTGTATGAGGCCAGTCTGAAGGATGATGGGAACAGAAACATGGAGGAAACAGAAGAACAGACACAGGTGATCCAGTTTACCTTTCACTTATCTGATGATTCTTTTTGAAACAGAAAGCTAAGGAGTCTAAAAACTCACCCTCTTTCCTAACAGGAGCCATCTAACAACAACAGTGTCATCCCTGAACCTGAGGAGCAGCCTGCCACAGGAGCTGTCAATCATCCTGCCACTTGCCATGGCGATTGCCCCTCCCTGGCAGTGAAGATGGTGTTTAACCTGGAGGTGGAGTCGTGCAGTCAGGCCATCATGCGGGAGATGAGAAGGGAGGTCGTACCTGCCAGACAGGTCAAGGTCAACGGGAGGATCATGGGAAGGGACTGGGAGAATGGGTAAGGAGGGGGCTTTTTTTGCAACTCCTCATGGTTGGAGCCATTAATGTGGTAGTATTATAAGGTTGCCCCAAAGTGATTTTGCTTAAACTGAATTTGCTCATTGCAAGGCCAGGCACCAGTCTTGTTAGGGTTACTGGAAGAGCATCTCTTCTACGCATTGATAGAGACACTACACCCAATAGACTGGAATGGTTTTGATCCACTGACACCAGGAAGGACCCCTACTCTTTCCATAAGTCTTTAACACTATTACTGAGCATATACATGTAAATGAAACTAGAGAGTCTAACAACATTCTTTGAAAGGTATTGCAGCTTGCATTCTTTTTATGCTGTGTAGTGGTTTGTGATATTTACATACATGTATTTCTTTCCTCTCTAAACAGGAACCGTGTGAAGAAGAAGCGTCTGCCGCCCCATCCTAACATCATCGAGATGCTGACAGTGTTTACAGACACAGTCCCCCTGCTGCCTGACGCCATGCAGAACTACCCAGCAGCCCTGCCCGCCAGGTTCAACCCCGAGGGCTTCGGCAGGAACATGACTCTCTTCATCGTCATGAAACGGTGAGGATTTTTATGTTTACCCTTTAGGCGTAACACACTAGTTTTGTTTATTAGATACAAGACCAGACTGCAAGGTTTGTATCACTCACATGGGGGAAGGACCCCTACTCTTTTTAGTCCGGTGGGGTCTTTGATAAATAACGTGAACTTCCGGTGTGGCTGCCCTCAAAAAGAGACCTCCAGCTTGATGTCCCACCTGAGAGGATGTCCCTAACTGATGCTACGTACTCATTTAGACAACAGGAAATAAGCGTAAAATGCCTTTCCAAAAAACAGTTTGGCCTGCTCCCTGGGATTCAAACCCAGAACCTTCAGAATCAACAATGCTAACCAGAAGATAGACCACCTTGCTGGTCTTACTTGAAGTTCTTCTATTTTTTGCACACAATAGGTACCCAGTGACACTGAAGGAATACCTTGAAACCAACACACCGAGTTCCAGGGTTGCCATGGCGATGGTTGCCCAGCTACTGGAGGGCGTGTCCCACCTGGTGGATCATGGGATAGCGCACCGTGACCTGAAGAATGACAACATCCTTGTGGAGCTCCATGGAGGTTAGGCACACTTTCTGACTTTAGATAAATTCTTTTGCAATAGAATAAAGTAGCTACAGGTTGCTGTACCTTTAGAAAGGAATGTCCACCTCTATGTTCTATCCTAAACTAGGAAATATTGGGTGCATATGCACCATATTACAGGTAAAATTGGAGCTGTGCAGGTTTTTCTGATGTCAACCTGCATTTAACTTGCACTGATCCATTTACTGGGTTTACATGGAACATACATGTAGGTGAATGTAGATTTTCATTAGCGGTACTGACTGTCTATGAAGAGTAATAGAAATAATAGCAATGGTTTCTGAACAGTTATTAATGTGATCCATGCTTCCTAAATTCTCCATGGTGGAGGTAAAATTTGTCTGGTGCAGGTAGTTTCCAATGTTACCTGCACCCATTGCAGGTACACAGAAAAAAGCATTTCGAGCCCAGGGACAGTGTAAACCCTATGCTCTATCATCCTGGTGAAATTGTTTTCAGCTTTTTTCATGAACTTTGATAGATTTATTGATGTCTGTATGTGACCCTTCATATACCCTCTCTATCCAGACTGCTGTCCCAGACTGATCCTGACAGACTTCGGCTGCTGCCTGTGTAACAATGACAACAGTCTCCAGGTGCCCTTCCCTCACTCAGAACTGGACACACGGGACGGCAACTCTGCACTTATGGCTCCAGAGGTAGGGGGCGCTGTGATCACAAGCACCTCTTGTATGCTATCACATTATAATGTAACAGTGGGGTTGTGTGGCGTAGCGGTAGTGTGTTCGGCCTTGAACCCAAGAGGTTCCGGGTTCGAATCCTACCTTGTCACCGATCTTGTGCCCTTGGGAAAGGCACTTTACACGACTTTCCTCACTTGACTCAGATGAAAATGAGTCTAAAATAGGCCTGGCAGGTAACATACTAGGGGAGTTGGTCCGCTTAAGGAGTACAAATTGTGGGGGCTGGTGTTTTATCTATCTATTTGGCCAATATTTACTCTTTCCAGCTGCTTCCAAAGCCTCGTAGAGGCTAGTACATAGTGTCTGCTTTCTTTGTCACCACCAGTGGAAAAAAATCAGCTCTACGATTCATTAAACTTAGCTTACATGCACAGTTTCAGACGTGACCTGCCAACATGTTTGCCCACTTGTCATTGTGATCAATCATTATAAGCCTTGAGGGAAAAATCTCAACCATGGCAGGGCAACAATGGAGCTGCGTTGCTGTCACATTCTTCAGGGGTCGACATACTAGTTTGGGGTGTTTTGGTTGAAGGTTTCTCCAAAGCCAACAGTCCATTTCGTATCCTCTGCAGACAATTTTGTCCACATTCAGGCATCACAATTTTGCATGTTTACATTTCAGTAACATTCATAATACTTTTGAGTATAACAGCAGTTTTGTAGGTTTCATTTTCTAATAGTGTTCAGGTCATTGACCCTCACAGTACAGGTGAAGGTGTAAACTGCTGACTAGAGGTTAAAGGACCAAATCAGTCATCAATGTCAAAAAAAATGTCATTCTGCCTGTGACAGAAAAAAAGATCACAAAGAAAAGATCAACATCATTTTCCTATAAATTATTTGTGATTGCATTACACATTTGAATATTTTGTGAAAGTAGCTACATATGTCAGCCCTATATGTTAGTACTGAAACTCCTTATTTCAATGAAAGTGTCATAATTCCTTGTAGTCTTTGTAGACTTCCATGTGACTAACTTATGAAAAATGATTCATAGGGACCTTGTTTGTGGTAGAAAATAAAGGAGTATCTAGCAGTTTGTTTTTAAAACAGCCATTGTTACTTTGCAATATAAGGCTGGGCACATGTTTGAGGTGTGTAAGATGTGAAAAAAAATGTTTGAACACAAGACCTTCGTGAATATTTCACAATTTAAGCATCTTGTTTTTGTATTACAGGTGGCAACTGCTGTCCCAGGGCCAAGAAACTTTGTTGACTACACAAAGTCTGACGTGTTTGCTGTTGGTGCACTGGCCTATGAGATCCTGGGTCAGCCCAACCCTTTCTACAAGAGTGAAGCTGGCACCAGATTGAACACCTGCACATTCAAGGAAGCTGACCTGCCCCCACTGCCCAGCTCTGCGGATGGGAAATTCTGCAACATTGTAAAACTACTGCTGAAGAGAGACCCTACACAGGTATGTGTAGAGTCTCTGTACTCTTACATGCCTTTTCTTCTTTTCAATCAGTGGGCACAATGCTAACATTGTGAAGAAAGTCTGTTCACATGAAAATAAACCTGCACAAATTTGGCTGAAAGGAATTCTAAGTAAACATTAGGATCAAAAGAATGTTTTTCGCTAGCTGTGGTGCCTGGTTTCAATGGCTGCTGTGTTCCCTCTCATGCCAATTAATTTCATTACCTTGCATCAAGGATCAAGAACTGGGTGTATAATTTGTGAGGTCTAAGGTCCTCAAAAATTGCAAGCTTAGGGTATATTTGTACAGATGTCTCCAAATGTTCTTTATTATGGTAAGGTAAATCTGGTAAGGAAGTACTCAAATGTCATTGGTGGCACAATCATTTTAACAATGTGTAACAGCTAACTACATGTACTTGTAAATGTTTGCTTGGATTGCCAATACATTGTACTGGCCATACTTGTATGTTCTCAGCATTTATCTTGTAAGGAAAGCCTGCTTACTTCATGTAACTTGTTTTACAGAGACCAAATGCCAGGGTGGCTGCCAACATGGTCCATCTCCTCATGTGGGATGGTGGTCACCTGACCAGTTCTAAAGATCTGATTGGTTGGCTTATGCAACTTTCAGCAATCACACTGCTTGAAAAGGTTAAGGGTCACAAAGTGAGGGGTCAGGGGTCAGATAACACTGAGCATCTGCTGAAAAGAGAGTTTTTGTGTAACGTAACTGTGGGGGAACTGATGGAGGCTTTCCATTTGCTCAGATTTTGTTGATCTTTTTGTTCTCAAGTTGCTACCTACACTGTAGCCTGGAGTCCAGCCTTGTTAGCTTTGGTCCGCTCCCCAAGATCCCCTAACCTACACAATGCATTTTCTGTAAAAAAAAAAAACAAGTCAGAAGCAAGCTTAAGGTATGAAAGAGCAGAGGGGAAATGACTTACTTAGATGCCTTTCAGCCTGGGAAGAAACTAGGAAACAAATCTGCAACTGCTACACATAACAGTTTTGCTTCATTGTTGGAGACAATATATGGTTCAGTTAATTGCTGTTGACAGGAGGTTGTACATTGTAGTATATAAGCTGCCTTTGAAAGCTATGAATGAAAACACATCAAAAGGAGAAATAAAAGTTGTCAAGCAAACAGTCTGTGTATGGTACTTCTTTATTAAGAACTGACATTATTTAGTGAATGCAATTTGCACAGTAAATGCAATTTGTATTCTGCAACACATTCTACATTCAGTATAAACATTCGGCATTCAACAAAATCTGATACATTCATGACACTCCTTTTAAATGCCTTTTGCATAAATGATAATGACAATACATTTTGCATGCATATAATTATTAATATTTTCGACGCCATTGACGTCATCATTGCTTTGCGATGGACATCCAAGATAAGATAATTATCTAGCAAGATGTTAAAAGACCAGATCGACTGGAAATATCCATCAATTCATTTACAAGTGCCAACAGTCATCTAGCTTATAGCATGCATGCTGAGCTTACTAGTCATTCTATCGAGTTAGTAAAGAAAGGTTTTATAACCATACATATGTGGAGGTGGGTAGGTCCCTACCTATACCAATGACTACTGACAAGAAATAATGAGTACATGTTTTTTTTTCTAATTTGTCCAGATAAATTTGTTGAGCTGGTATTGACTTCTTGTCATTTATTTCATACGTTTGCTATTGTTTATAGGAAAAGTACCAACTTTTTTCACCCACAATTTCAGCGTTGTAAAGTCCATGTTTATAATGATATTATTATGTCGACAATCCAACCGGGGGACTGTTAACGGCATCGCGCAGACCCTGGCGGCGCTGTCCCGGCTGGTGGGACCGGCGGTGAGCGCCAACCTGTTCCCCTGGACCACCGATAACGGTAGGGCGGCAGCTCACTGGCACGCACATCTCACAACAATCTCCAAGTTAACATGTGTAAGAATTTAGTTTCAACGGCAGTTTAAAAACGAAGGAAAAGTTACCGGTCGGTTCTCTGTCCCAGCCTTTTATTCTTTCCTTTGTTGCCAGGGCTGCCCTGGCCGCTGGATCACCACCTGTCCTTCTATCTGGTGGCCGTCCTGTGTATCCTCGTGGCGGTCCTCTGCGCAAGTCTACCGGCTTCCAGCAACCTGCCCAGGGCCGACAGTCTCACAGTATCAGAGGAGGGCGACGGAAGGGAAGAACCCATATTGGAAGGAAAATTGGATCAATCGTTGGACAAATAAGCAAAAAGCACCGTTATATTTGATCAATGTCGTCACTATAACATATAGAAACAGCACCTATTAATTAAGTCTGATGCCACAACGTAATTCTTAACAAGAGTCTTATAAATATATACAGTTTTTAGCTCTTAAGATGATTTTATTATTGTAATAACTAATTGCTTCTATGTTATGTCATACCTAAGGCCGTGTCTATGTGAAGTCACCCAAGGCGCTTTACATGTGGTTTACCTCGAAGCCGGTTTCAAGTGGCTCCATCTGAACGCTCCAAATCACATTGAAAGCGCCTCGATCCCAAGCCACTTCTAGAGGTGGTTTCGAATCGGTTTTCTTGCATCGCGATTTGCGTCTGAACGCAATGTGATTTCAATTTAACTTCGCCTGGTCATGGATTACGGGGTGATATTTCTGTATTTATATGCAATACCAACTTTAACGTGGCAGCAACTTAAAGAGCAGTAATGGTCAAATAATGTGTCCGTTCTAGGGCGAGCTTCACCGCCTCTGGCGGGACCACGTCGGCATTCGGCCGAGATACACTGGGAGCAAGTATATCAGAAGACTGTGGATTGTTGAACTCCACGGCCGTGCTCTTCATCACTATAATGATGAACTCCACGGCCGTTGAGTTCATCGATATTGTGATGAACTCAACGGCGATTCTGTCACTAATAGCGGCGATTGGCCGTGAAGATCACACTTGTACACAAAAACGAGCTTTGTAGCGTCAAAGTTGACCTTTATTCGCTAGCTAAGAACTCATTTTGGCGTAGGTTTTCGAACTGTATGGGGGTTTCCGTGATACCGCTAATCCCATCTACTTCCGGGTCACGGCTTACGAGGTTCGGTTACTAGTATATTACACGCCGAAGAGCGAAGGAAACGTTGCGGCGTGAAATTTCATGAAGAAAAGCTCTTAAAAAGCCGCGCCTATAAGGTTTTGCAACTTCTTCCCAAAAATCCAATTACGCTTTGGCGAGTATATTAGGGTCTGCCCTCCGTGTCTATCATATAAATGATACACGTAAACGTCGGGTCGTCTTCGAAGTACCTTTTGTATCATTTCAATGATACGTGTAACTACCTAGGTTTTCCAAATTCGGACTGACTTCCAATATAGTAACCCCACTATCATATCTACGCATGTGTGAGACGGGTACACTGTACCAGCAATCATTTAAATAGCCAATAGAAGAGTTACCACTTGGCTCTTAAAAAGCTTGTTCAGAATGATTGGCTAGGTGTATTTGAGCTTGACAAACTTTCTCTGTCCACAAGAGATACGGTCTTGTTTGTTTTTGTTTGTTTGAGCCTTTATTTCAACTCGATCTGTAACAGTGTTACATGCTCTAATCGGCCGCTATTTCGGCCGCTTTTCATAGAGGTCGAGCGTGGAGGAGTGTCAGGGGGTCATAACATAAATACTACTTGCTCACAAATGAAAACAAAGTAATATCGAATTCCTCCTCGATCGTCAACAGCTTCTCCCCTCCAAGCCATAATATCTAGTTTCTGTGTCACTCACGACTATACTCTAACGTATATTCCGGTTTTGACAAAGAGAATCTGCACAGAACACACTCCTCGAACAAACTAATTGACTCACTGAGTGAATAACTGTTAACCGACACGTCAAAAGCGTCAGAGAAATTAAAAATATGCACGCTTGTGTACTTTGTCCGAAAACAGGTAGGTGGCGCTTTCGCCAGCTATATGACATCACTCCTTTGCCACCTGTCACCGGTGAGTGCGTTGACGTACGACGCCCAAACTTTCAGAGATGGTGGAGAAGATCATATTCTTTTCTTTGATAGATTATTTTATTAATACATTATAGTTAAGGTCTCATTCATGTATTACTCCGAGTGTACCCCTTAAAGAGTACCAAGTGAAAAAGTAAACGGCTATATGAAAGTGTGTTTTTATTGGTGAGAATTTTCTTTTTAGCCAACCAAATGGATCTAAAATGTCAAAGTAGTGAAAGCTTGTTTGTAACTGAAGAGATTAGCACGTAGCGCTAGGTCGGATGTGGACAGTCCAGTAATGCGGTCTTGGTTTTGTAGTGCAGGAGGGCCTGGTGCGGGTAGCTATAAGTTCCTAAGACACACTTTAAGTAAATGGGAAAATAAACAACTACACATGAAGATAAGTGAAAGTAGTAAAGTTGTAAAGTCAACTGCCACCGAGCTCATCTGAATTTCATGTTGAACACAACTTTATTAGATTTTTCAACGCGTCCAGTCTACTGTCATTCTGTTACATAATGCATGAGCAGAAAGTTCCGTATGTTCCATATACGTCTTGTAGTCTTGACAAGTGACTCAGTTCAGAGTTGCCCGTAAAATGGTAAACTACAAAGGTTGTTGTAATAAATCTTGAGATAAAAAAAACTCTTGATACCTGTTTAATGATACGTATTGAGATCACATATATGGCAGTACAGCTGTCACAGTTTTCTTAAGTTTTCAGTGTTCATGTTAAGTTCATGTTAAGTTAATATAAACCCTAAATAGTACAGATACAATATAAGCCAAGAGGAAAACTCTCAAAGACTCATTTAAAAAAAGGGAAATATTCTTAAAAAGCTTGTTATTTTCAAAAAAGAATAAATCTCGAGATAAAGACGACCCGACTTTTGCGTGTATCATTTATATGATAGACACAGAGGGCAGACCTTTAATCGCCTTTGCGAGAAAGAGTACTCGCCAAAGGGTGAAGGGATTTTTTATCGTCTCACACATGCGTAGATATGATAGTGGGGTTACTATATTTGAAGTCAGTCCGACTTTGGAAAACCTAGGTAGTTACACGTATCATTGAAATGATACAAAAAGCACTCCGAGGACGACCCGACGTTTACGTGTATCATTTATATGACAGACACGGAGGGCAGACCCTAATATACTCGCCAAAGCGTAATTGGATTTTTGGGAAGAAGTTGCGAAACCTTATAGGCGCGGCTTTTTAAGAGCCAAGTGGTAACTCTTCTATTAGCTATTTAAATGCTTGCTGGTACAGTGTACCCGTCTCACACATGCGTAGATATGATAGTGGGGTTACTATATTGGAAGTCAGTACGAATTTGGAAAACCTAGGTTGTTACACGTATCATTGAAATGATACATAAGGTACTTCGAAGACGACCCAGTGAAGACGACCCGACTTTTGCGTGTATCATTTATCTGATACACGCGGAGGGCAGACCTTTAATCGCCTTTGCGAGAAAGAGTACTCGCCAAAGGGTGAAGGATTTTTTGGAAGAAGTTGTGAAACCGTAACGGCTTTGCAAAGGTCACCTTTCTAGTTGATGATTATTTTATACTTATGTTTAAATCATGTGATTTCTGTATCCCACGTACTCATGCATGGTGTCCTATCAGCCTATATGGGTGGGCGACAATATTTATACACTTCTATGCACTCCGAAGAAGCCTGACTTTTACCCGTATGATTGCAATTATATACACGGGAGACGATTTTGCAACGATTGAGATTTTTAAAGTCGGACTGTCTTCATGCTGTCTAACAACAATTTTGGTCATTATGTAATTTTCGGGGCGCAATGTGATTCAGGTGAAAGTCGTGTTGTCGTCGACGTGTTTGCCACGATACAGGCAAAATGTAGCGTACTCGTTTTTACACATGTGCATACATGTCAGTGGCTCGTTCAGTTGAAGCAAAAGAGCCATATATATAATTCTTGAGCATTATTTCCCGAAAGGGTGAGTATTGCGCAGTACACTGCCCTTGGCTTGGCAGCGGCCCTTCGCCGGGTAATGACGTCGCTGGACGTGACCCGGAAACAGATGCAACCAGATACCGCGAAACCCCCATAGGGTGCGTATTTTGACGGAAATCCAATGGCGGAAACCTCGCCGAAAAATGGAAATGAGTCAACTTTGACGCTACAAAGCTCGTTTTTGTGTACAAGTGTGATCTTCAAGTGAACTACCCGAGGTTCCCTGACTTGTAAGGATTACAACGACATATATTTCAGCCTGGCTTTCCCGATTCTGACTGCGCTATGATAAATTCTGTGAACCATGCTAAGGACTCATTTCGGCGGTTAACACAGGCAAACAATAATGACAAAAATGGCTGCCGCAAGAAGTTTGGACAACACTTACTCTAACGAAGAAGGTAAAAGAATCATTTGTTATCTTTCTACAGCATTCATATGCTGAATAAATTATTTATTACCATTTAGTGAGGATAAATTTCCACAAAATGGATGGTATTATAAGCAAAAAAGAAATGTTCCATACAGGTCAAAGTTCATTTGGAAAAGTTGGTGAAGATACATACATGTATTACGTTTTTTCGAAAATAATGAGGTTTAGGTTGCACTATTTCCCCCATGAATAGCTGAAACATTACTGTCAATCCACCACCACAATAAAGTGGCCGATGAATTGTATTGCTATAAGAATACAATGTAAGCGATAAACATTACAAAATGTAGTCCACTGCCTTGAAGAAAATGAATTACCCTCCATTACAAAGGCATGTTTGTCAAAGTGGCACATACAGAATATACAATTAATAATAATATTTTATAATTATGTATCCTGGACTACTATTATGAGACTTTGGTGTTCTTTTCTTTTTAAAAAAATGAAGTCTTTAAAACAATCACTTAATATATATAATTACAAGTACATGCTTTTACTAAGTTTTAGCATTTAGAAGGGACACTGTTCATCATTTTGAAATGAGTTTAATAACTTACATCATACAAATCTTCCCCACAGATGAGTCTGCTGTCTTGCTGGTCCATACTGAGTATGGCAAAGACAAAGTTGGAAGCTCATTCCTACACAGACAGGTCGCAGAAACAATCAGGGAGTCAGAACCAGACATATCTGTGTTCAGTACTGTTTTACATGCAACTGAAAAGGACAAACAAGATGCACAACAAGATGGAGTGGAGCTGATACTGCCTAAAGTTGAGCCAGGTGACCCAAGGACTGACCCAACACCAGACTGGCTGACATTTGATCATCGTTCCAAATACCCAGATCTTCCTACAAAGGTAAGAAGCATTGTGGGACATGCTGATGTCACAAGTAGGGCTGCACTAAACATAAAACATGACCGTTGCCCAGAAGCAAAAGTCGTTCTTATTTATAATGACACATCAAAAGATACTCAGGGGAATGAGAAGGTTGCTACTGTAAATAACTCTGCCCTCCAAAATGCACAAGAAGCTGATGTGGTCTTCTCTGTTGGAAACAAGGTATTTGATCACTTTGAGAACCAGTTCAGAGCTATAACTGACAAGAAGCCAAAGCATTTTGAGTTTCTACCAAGACCATCCAAGAAGTTTGAGCACACAAAAGCAATCTACAAAGAAACTAAGACACTGGCAGTCCTGTCTATTGGTAGAGTGAAGAGTGTCCACAATCTGAAGGGACATGATCTTGTTGTCAAAGCCTTAGACATTGCAGCTGTAAAACAAAATATGGAGTGTGGTATTAGAGGCATCAATGAAGAAGACTTCCAAGCAAGTGATAAGGACATTCTTAAGACACATTTCAAGACAACACATTTGAAGCGAACCCTTCATCCGTATGGAACACTGACAGACCTTCACAATGACATGTTGAAGGCCCACCTTGTGTTGATACCTTCTGAAGAAGAACCATTTGAACTTGCAGGACTAGATGCTATTGCTGCAGGAATTCCTGTCCTTGTTTCCGATAAATCAGGACTTGCAGACTTCATGACCAAGATATCACCAGAGTTCTGTTATTCTGTTGTCAACATTGAGGGAAATGATGAGGACAAAGTAAAGCAATGGGCCAAGCGTATCGAACAGTCACTGAGTAACTGTGAGACAGAGTTTGAAAGAGCAGCAAGATGTCGGGACAAGCTTCTGTCAGTAAAGTACTGGGAAGAGTCTCATCAGCAGCTCATCTGCAGCTGTATACAGACAGGTGAGTAGTATGCTGGATAAGGGCTCTCACCAGCAGTTTTTCCCTCAGGTTTCCTGCCTAACTGCTTATATATGCCCAGGCCAGGTACTAGCCCATTGCTCCTCTCCGTCAGGTTCCTCCAGCCAGCTCTATCAAGGGCAATAGTCTCTGTTTTGCTTAGGGTAAGCCCCAGGGTAAGCCGCGTGTGTCTTTAGTATACGAAAGGCTTACCACCAGGAGTTCCAAACCCCTAGACCCCGGGGAAGACCACCCAAGAGGTGGAAAGACCAGATTCAGAGTGACACGCGGCTTACCCTGGGGGTGTTTGCTGGTCTTCACATCACATGCCCAAAAATTTAAAACCATCTGAGCCTTCTAGTGCATATCTTGTCCATGGTTTATTCTGCCCCCAGTTGAGACCGGATTTCTGCATCTGGGATGCGGTCCCGCAGGGTGATACAGAGTATCGCTCTTAAGCATCTCATTTCAAAGGATAACAGGAGAAGTTCATCTGATTTTTTCAGGGTCCATGTTTCACATGCATATGTAGCAATTGGCAGAATAATTGTGCTTGCATGGAACAGCCGTACTTTGAGGTTTTTGTTAATATCCCTTCGGTTCCAAATTGAATTTCATGATCTTTTTTGCTCCTTTGATTTCCTCCCTCATTATCGGTGGGCCTTTGTATTAACTGGGGCATCAGGGATTTCTTCTAAATCCTCTTCCTGGTGTGGGAACTCATTGTTCAGATGCATCTTAAAGTGTTCTTCCCAAGTGTGTGTGTATGTGTATGTGTTGTGTGTGTGTGTGTGGGGGGGGGGGGTACACTGTAGGCTCAATGCGAGTGCCTATAAAACACATATAGGGGGTTTCAGGGCATGCTGTCCCTAAAAATCTTGGATTTTTAAATCCCAATTGTCCACATTTTGGGAGTCTAATCATAGCATTTAGAGTGGGTTTCTGTAGTCCTTTGGATGTTTTTATACCATTTTGATTGACAGGTTTTATGATTGACAGGTTGATGGATTGGTTTTAATTTTTTCCTGTCATATTAAGCAAAATTAAGTGGTTGAAAATTTTTGCTGTCAAGTGCCCTATGCTGATAAATGATATAAGTATATCTCCTTTGCTGGTCAAGCTCATTGAATATAAATGTATTTTTTATCTATCAGATGACAGAACACAACAGTCATCTGAAGTCAAGATAGGAAGTGCACCCCCCGTATCATTAACTGATAGCAGAAAACCATTGCAGTCAGGTAAGATATTGGAGCAATTTCTTTCAGATAGTATGGAAGGCCAAAAGTATAATGTACAGTATTATGGATTTGGGGTTACTGTAGGCCAGTGCAATTTGGCAAAAAATTCAAAATTCAATTTGTGTCTGCTGTTACCATTTTTAACTGTGCTAAATGTTTAAAACTTAAACCACACATATTATGCAATGAAATCTACCAGCAGTCAATTTGAAAATGGACTAGTTAATCAGTTTGAGTCATACAGTCATGTACTGTATACTATTTTAACCAGGTGGGTTGTCCAGAGAGGCAGGACATTCTTCAGATAAAATAGACACTGTGACTGAAAGGGCCAATCAGTCTTGGACTGAAACGACAGAAACACCTGCCCAAGGAGCTTCAATTTTGTATCAAGCAGCTATACCTCACCTTGTTGGTATGTTTATGAGGTTTTTATAACATCATGATCATTATGACTTTAAAAAAAATTCAAGATTATCAAACAAGCAAATCATAGTTTATGAAAATTTCTTATTGAGGAATACAACATAATGTCAAATTATTTTAAGTACAAAGAAAACTGTTATTCTACCAGTCCTGTAAAATTGAATATTATCTAAAATACAGTTACTACATGCACCATTGCTTGGCGTTAAACATCAGAATGTAAAAAAATCTTCAGTAAAGTTGACATCTCTTCTATACCATCTAGAGCATTCCAAAATCGCGTCGCTGCGTAACACGGTAAAACTCCGCCTCACCAACCTGCTCCACGATAGGCCTGGAGAGACGTTTAACCTCCTCTTAGTTGGACTGCCAGGCTCGGGCAAATCCTCCTTTATCAACTCGATGATCATGGCCGTCACTGGAAGTTGGAGTGATGTGGCCCACTACGGTGCAGGGAACAGAACTGTGACGAGACGCCTGGAGAGAATTGTCATGTTTGATGATAAGTAAGTCGTGTTTGTTTCATGAGACGATGCTCAATTGATCAATCAATTCGCGCACTAATTATGATATTTTGGCCTCTGCCAAGCAGTGCGGATCGACGGGGAAATAGTAGAAACTGGCCAAAAAAAGAATAGTATACCAATTGCAAGTACAAGTGAGTTAGCAGGCCAAGGTACATTTGTCGACCCATGGATTGGGTGAGGCAAAATGTACTCTCTAGTCGACCAATTACATGTTATATCTCTATTTGGGTAATTTCTACTCTTCCCAGCGACCTCCCGAAGCCTGGTAGAGGCTAATAATATTTAAAGAAATAAGGTCCATTATGGTGATATTTTCCTTATTGAGCTGCTACGACGCATACCAAAAGCCCCCAATTCCAGGCTACAAGAAGAACTTAACAAATTTAAGTAAATAGTATGAAGATATTTACATGTACCTCCATGAAAAATGGAGGTATTGTTTTGGCGTGTCTGTGTTTCCGCACAATTTTGTAGTCAGCATAACTTCAGAACGCCTTTATGGATTGTGATGATATTTGGTTTGTTGGTCAGTCTTAGGAAGACGAAGGTCAAGGTCAAGTATGGGCCTCCTGGTGGATGACCTTGGTACTGCAACAGAACTTTCGGTTTTTGTATCTTTTGTCCTGAACATGCTATGGTCTTGATTTTTTTATGACAGATAGCTTATCCTGACAGGAATAAGTGGCGTGTGTTTGGTCCCCCTAGCAGCTTGTCCTGGAACTGCAGGAGACTTTCTGGCAAAATCTTTAAAAGCCAATAAGTCCAGAGTGGAATGACATATTTTCATCATTTTTGGTATGAAGGTAGCAGAAAGAGAGTTGTGCATAATTAAATGCAAATATTAATTTGGACTTGATTTGCATAATTTGGGAGGAAATTCTATAATCACACTGTTTTATATAATAGTACTGTTATACATGTAATCTATTTATCTTGTGGCAGGCGGAACATCAACAGATACCAATTATGCAAATGATGACCTAATTTGCATAATTATGTCAAAATTCTGTGACTTTTTTAATTGGTGAATGATGGGAATTTTATACCTTGTGACGTGTTAGTTACTTAAAGGCTAGCACCACTATACATATATTATGTAAATGTTGAGGTCATTTGCGTAATTAATGAAGACCTGTTGAAATGAAGTATGACAAAGGAGAGGACGTTTACACGAAAAATATTGTCATTTGAATTTAGAAAACCATAAATTAAACTAGATTATGCTAATTGCGACCTTATTTCCATAGTCAATGTCAGAGACAAATAAAAAAACATTTACAAAAACTCATATATTTCATGGAGGTATGAGATCTCCGAATTCTTGTTTCCTCATGCAGTTGCAAAGAAGTACACGAACCACACCCAATGCCTGACTACAAGAAGAACATCGTCTTCTGGGACTGTGGTGGCTTTCCTAATGCCATGGATGAAGTGTACTCTACGATCGTCTCACTGGCACTTGACGGCCGCATACCACCCGGCACCAATATGGAAGAATGCATGGATCAAACCCCGGATCAGCTCCGAAGGAGGTTCAGCCGAGTAGATCGCAAGGTGACGTTTGACCGGATCGTTTTCATCTTATCAGCAAGCCAAAACGTTCCGACCCACCTGGTGGAAGCTGTCAAGTCAGGAGCTCGGCAAGGCCACGGTAAAACTCTTCATTACCTCCATAAAAAAATGTAGGTATTGTTCTTGGCCTGTCGCCTGTCTGTGTGTGTGTGTGTGTGTGTGTGTGTGTGTCTGTGTTTCCGCACATTTGTAGTCAGCATAACTTCATAACGCCTTTATGGATTGTGATGATATTTGGTCTGCTGATAAGTCTTACGAAGACACAGGTCAAGGTCAAATATGGGCCTCCTGGTGGATGACCTTGGTACTGCAGCAGAACTTTTGGTTTTTGTATCTTTTGTCCTGAACATGCTATGGTCTTGACTTTTTGCTGACAGATAGCACAAAAGCCATAAGTACAAAAACGCTTCGTCTGGATCGCCTCAAATGCTTCCTATACATTCCCCTCCGTATCGCTATTTCGTAATCTAAAAATATTGACTGTATATGATATAAATATTCTACAAGCTTCTCTCTTCGTCCGTAAATAATTAATGATAGATAGTTCTTGCATACCAAACCAATTCAAATTTTTTTTTTACACTTCAAGATTTTCATCAATATGGCACCAGGAAACAGAATAAGTTGAGACATATCCATGCAAACACTCAGCAAAGAATGTTCTCCTTGATGTTCAGGTGTCCACAAATTAGGAATTGTTTTGAGAAAAAAATTGCAAAACTGCAAATCAATGTTAAGATTTAGGAACATGTTAAAACATTGTCTACTAAACAACCACTCATCTGAATAATTTGCTCTTCATTTTTTCATTCCTGTTGTGTAAATTTTCAGTTGTATTCAGTACTACTGAGTAGTATACATTACTTCCATGTCCTTTTATATTTTTGTCCATTTAGCATTGCGTTTGCTTATGCACCAATCTGAATCAGTTATATCTAGCTTTTATCTAGTTCATTTATAATGTTAGTTTCATGATTGATATTTCCTAATTTTTAGGGAGGGTTACATTATACAAGCCTTATAGGCTTCTTTCCTCCTCCAGCACACAGTTTGTTTCCTTTGTTTTGCATATTTGTTGATTGATGTTCGTCTTTTTATTTGTACAAATAAAT